TAATTCTATTCTAATTCTATTCTAATTCTATTCTAATTCTATTCTAATTCTATTCTAATTCTATTCTAATTCTATTCTATTCTATTCTTTATTTGCCTCTGTTGTTGGCTCATCTATCTAATACAGGTAGTCTTCAATTTATGACCAGTTGCTTAATGGCAATGCAAAATTATGACAGACTTTGAAAAAGCTACTTGGGACCTATCCTTGAAGTTAAAAGTGCTCCTCCCCCTCCCTCCCAATCAACTGATTGCATTTTGGGTGATTGGCAGCTGGCTCACATTTTCCAGCAGAAAATGTCAAAAGCCACCCATTGGATACATTGGATTTGGTTAATGACCATTGGATTTGCCTAATGACGATGCTGTTTGCTTAACGACTGTGATAATAACTCACTTTACAAATATCATACAAATGGTTATAAAATCAAGTCAAGTCATTTGGTGGCCTGTATTTAATGACCACAATGACTTATAACCAAAATTCCAGGGACAGTTGTAGTTGTAAGTTGACGACTACCTGTATCATATATTGATTTAGAATCAATTGATTTGGAATTGATTTAGAATCTTTCAGCCTGCTCAGAGGAATTCAAGGGTACGTGTGCATCCAGTTTCTAGAAAGAAGCTTCACTTCAGTTAGTTTAAAAGCTGCATCAACTAGGATTTCTTGCTCTGCCTGGTAGCAGCTGATTTACAGAGACTTTCAGACAAAAGAACACAAAACACAGAATAATAGAGCTGGAAGGGACCTTGGAGGTCTTCTAGTCCAACCCTCTGTTCAATACCATGAGATGCATAGATTGGAAGATGTAGAAATGGTACCAAATCTAATTCAGGACCTCTTTTTTTGGCGGGGGGGGGGGGTGTTGAGTTAGCGTTGACTCATGGAGACTGCCAGGGCAAATCCCTGCAGCATTCTTGGCCAGGCTTTAGAATTGCTTATGGAAGCTCCTATCATGCCTTTAGGGCAGTGAAATAGCCACATTGGATGGCAGACAGGGGGAAACCAAGCCCATTCATTGTCCTTCACTGCATCTCCGGCAAGAGGCTGCCCAGAATGCTTTGCCACTTCATTTGGCCTTTCTAATGGGTGTCTTCAGAAGAATGGATTGTGAGATAGCCACCTGGTGCCTCCTTGCTTTGGCAGCCATGCAACTATCCTACAGAGCTGTGTTTCTCAGCCTTGGCAGCCTTGAAGACGTGTGGACTTCAACTCCCAGAATTCCCCAGCCAGCCATGCTAAGGAGTTTTGGGAGTTGAAGTCCAGATATCTTAGAGCTTCTGAGGTTGAGAAATACTGCTGCAGAGTTATCTTGAAGCACCCCACAAAAACAAACGAGCCACACCCCATCCTCTATAAAGCAGAGTAACATTCTTTGCCAGGAGTAGTATATAGGAAACCCAACAATTCCCATTCTCTCCTTTTCTGCTGGTGTTCTAAGTGTATCTTCTGCCCTCTTCAGGAGGCTCCAACCACTACAAGGAATTTCTTTCCCTTTGCTTTTTTTCCCATAGGCTGAACACCCTGGCATGCGGACTTACTATTTCAGTGCCGACACCCAGTTGGATATGAATAGCTGGATCAGGGCCATGAACCAGTCAGCTGCTGCTGAGTGCAACTGTGGAAACCTGTAAGGGCTGGGTACGGGGACAGGCACAAAACCCTGTTGTGGGTGCATTTTGTGTAATCGGGAGTTGGGGCATAATGTATTGTAGAAATTTCCAGAAAGAATAATCTCTTGGAAAGAGAGTGAACTTACTATTTAAGTAAGAATTGGTCAGGGGGGAAAAGGACAGTGGAAGAACAGAACAATTTTCTGGAAAAGAAAAACCTAGTTATCCTTGTGGAAGAACTGGGAAAGATCTTGGTAAAGTCAATTGGACAGAGCAGCATTTGATGGAAGAGGAGGAAATCAGGTTTTGCACTGGGAATGATGGGCAATATTATGGAGACCTGGAACAGTCACTTGGATTTATTGGTCTGGTCTGGTGGTTAAGGTACAAGACTAGAAACTAGGAGTCGGTGAGTTCTAGTCCTAACTTAGGCAGGACAGCCAGCTGGATGGCTTTGGAGCAATCACCAGGTGACTGTGAATTCTAGTAGCACTTTAGGCATGAAAAAAAGGTAGACTTTGGGCCAATTAGCAATCGCCAGGAGTGTTAGTTCTAGTTCTGCCTTAGGCATGAAAATCAAACTGCATGTATTGACTTTGGGCCAATTACCAGGAGACTTTGAGTTCTAGTCCTGTTTTAGGCATGAAAGTTGGCTGGGTGACTTTGGGCCAGCCACTCACTCTCAGCCCAACACACCTCAGAGGACTTTTATTGTGATGAAAATAGGAGAAGGAAGGTGCATGGAATATGTTCGCCACTTGGAGTTATTTGTAAAAACAATAAAGGTGGGTTACAAAATAAATAATTAAAATAAAAAAAATTCCCCCTTCTGCTCCATCTCAGCAATCAAGGGGGTCTCCACAGCCAGTCAGTGTCTGCCCACACCAGCTTTGAGGACATCCGGCTGCCCCAGGGTGATTGTGCCAAAAGCACCGAATCACTAGAAGTTGCCCATCTCTCAGAGATCCAGGAAGCCCGGGCCTCCTCGTCTGAGAGCCTCCACCTGCCTGACATCCAGACAGGATCTCCTTGCGTTAAGAGGGCTTCTTTATCTAGTTCACTCAACGGGAGCTTCTGCTGTGAAAAGAAAGAGCAGCCAGAACTGAGGTAAGGAGAAGCAAAACCAGTTTCACTGCTCTGGATGCTGTAGAGCACAGGTGTCAAACTCACCGCGTCATATTGCTGTCATGTGATGTTTCCAGGGGTGGGTTCCACATGTGCACACACAGTGCAATAAAAATTGCTCTGCACATGCGCAGAAATAAAAAAACAAGATGCAGCCACCCGGAGAACCAATTCGGAGGCGTGGCAGATCTGGGTCATTGCTGGTTCCAGCGACCGACACCACCAAACCACTACGGGTTTGGCTGAAGTGATCCTAAGTAGTAGGAACCCACCACTTGTTATGTTTTCCCCATTCGCGGAGCTGGTGTGGGTGTGGCCTGTGTGTGACACATCTGGCCTGTGGGTTGCCAGTTTGACACCCCTGCTGTAGAGGAAGGATGTCCAATCTTGGTAACTTTAAGATCTGTGGACTTCAAATCCCACAATTCTTCAGCCAGCTTGGCTGGATGGGGAATTTTGGGAGTTGAAGTCCACAAGTCTTAAAAGTTGCCAAGGTTGGACACCTCTAATGTAAAGAATGGGAAGGATGTAGTAGCAGATGGCTGTATAGAGTTTGGATCACCATGATTGACTTTATCTTCTCCATCTTCTCTTGGCAGCTCCCTGTCATCCCAGACACATGGATGTCCCTCTCCTATTAGTTGCACCAAGTTCGCTTCCCGGCCACGGAGCCCACTACCGCCTTCATCTGAGAGTCCACCTCCTCCTTCTCCATCTCAGATATCTCAGCCTTCCCCTGTGTTTTCACTGCGTTCCTCACGCGCTTATTCCCTCCCAGTAGCCCCAGCCGAGTCCCCAAAGTTGCCACAGGCTCACCTCCCGAACATGCATGATCCCCACTGGAGCCTTCATGATGCCCATCGGAGCCCTCCGCGATCTGTAGTTGCACAGGCTGCCTCCTGTGATGACCTCTCTATCATGAGCTCGCCAAGGAGTCTGCATGCCAATATTCCCATGGGGAGGGTGGACATTGCCCCCAACAAAGGCCTTCCCAATAACCCTTACGCTGTTGTATCACCGGCCCACAAAGGCCACTCTCTGACTCCTGCAGACCGGTATGATGTGTTCCCTACTTCTGAAGACTCCTATGCCAGGCGCTACGCTCAAAGTCCTCATCTCCATAGAGTCCGGCCTGTGGGTGAAGATGGCTTAGCCCCCTCAATAGGGAGACCGCAACAAAACAGAGTAAGTGGAAATTACTTACTTCAGTAAGCACAGCAATCTCATTGGAATATGTTCCTCCTGAGCTTAAACTAACCATGGTCCTCCTGGATTTTTGGAAGGCTCTGAAGATGTGATTGTAGGAGATGATTGGGCTGAGCCCTCAAGAGAGGAGTCAAACATGTCATCAGACTTGACATCCCTTTGTGCCCACAAGAAATCCAGTCCACTTTGAATTCCATTGAGTCTTCTCTACCGCCAATTTGCTTTGACGATTAGTAGTTCAGATTTTTGTAGAGCACACTTCCCCAACCTTTTCGGCTTTGCTGACCAGGGGCAGAAAGGGGATGATTTTGCACAAGTGGTGAGCAGGCGCGTGCGTGCACAGGCAGCTTCATTTGTGCGAGTAGTGGGCACACACACCAGCTGCTCACACAAATGGAGCTCACCTGCACACGCACAGACACCGTTTGCACAAGTGGGGATACACACATTTTTTGTGTTTCTTGTGTTTCTACTGCTGGTTCAGTTTGCTTGTATGTTTATTTTATTGATTCATTTTTGAGTTTTGATGCTGTTTTAAGGTAAGATGAGGCCTGTACAAATCAAGTAAGCAAACAAATTGAATTTGGTCTGTAATCTGAATTTGAATTTTTCCAGTACACTGCTTGGAGAGTCAAGCAATAGGTTAAACTCAGCCAATCTGCCCAGGACTGAATTGAAACTTTAGCCACACCTCTGGTGTTGCCTTGACTAGCCAGATTTTCAATTCAGTCAAAGCCCAGTGGACGCATTTAGTTTCTCTTCAGTCCTTTCAGATTGGCTTGGACTCTCAAAAAATTTTCTGTTAATTTGAGTTTTTTTCCTTTATTTTTCCTTCCCTAGAGAGCAGGAGAGGTGAGAAGTTCCTTTTGCACATCCTTTTCTGTACCTTCTTGCTTTTTCCCAGCTTCCACAGTGTCCTGGGCTTGCTCAGGCGCCCGGAGGTTGCTGGCAGATACTGGTGGGAGTGTGGTGTCAGAGTGCCGACGCCCACACAATCGCGCTTTTCCCACTCTTCTGCGCGATTGCTTTTTTCCGGCAGGGGTTTCTGTTGCCACTGTCCGCTCTTGCTGGGGAGCCGGCTGTCGGCAGGCATTTTTTACTGATGGCCATTTTGGATTGCCTTTTTGCCGTGGCCGCCATTTTGGTTTTGCTTTTCCTGTCTCACATTTTTCTGCCTGCCTTTCTTCCTGCCCTACTCTGTGCCGATACTACTGCAGACTACTTGTCCGGATCTCCGGCGGGGTCTTTGTTGGGGATTGTTCCCTGCGACTCAAGCTCTTCTTTCGCATCAGAGACCAGGCTCGTCAATTCTGCATCTGCGCTGGTGCTGGGAATAAAATTAACTCACACCTGAGCAACTGCCTTCGGCTTATTACTCCTGCCTGCTGCCTTCAGTGTCTCCCCCTTCGGAGCGCGAAGGCGTTTTGTTCCAAGGTCACCAAGGTGGTGAATGAAGGGCCCCTAGTCCCTTCCAGTCACCCAGATTTCTGTCATGGCAGAGCAGGCCCCTAGGGATAATAGCCAGCCTAGTCCCTCCACCAGCAGGATTCCTCCTAGACAGGCTAGCAAGGTGGCAAGGGAGGCCCAAAAGCCAGCAAACCTTCCACCAGGCAGGACAAGCAATTAGAGTCAGGCCTTGATAAAGATGCCCTCAGGTGGCAAAAGGCCTTGGAAAAACAATTCCTCAAGGCCCAGCAGCAGGCCCAGGCCTCTAATCGGTCTGCCCCCCCAGGGATCCTTCACCAGACGTCAGACCAGGGCAAAGGCCTCCCATTTCTGAAAGTGAAGGGGAAGGGCAGGAATTTTCCTCTCAGGCTTCACTGGCCATGGCTGCTTAGCCAGGCTCACCAGGGGCTTCAGTGGCTGACCATGCAGACTTTTTTGAATGCCTATCAGAAGGAGAAGGCGATCCAGTTCTCTTGGGCCATCTGGCTCCACAATGTCCGCTCGCCCATCCGCCTCATAGAAAATAAGGACAAAAAGAAGGTTGTGCCTTCAGTCACCAAGAAGTCTGATCGCAAGGGTTCCAATTTTTATAGGAAGCAGCCCTTTCGGGCTTCCGACCAGCCCTCAACTTCGGCCACCTACCAGAGGACCTACTCCCAAAATACAGACAGGCTTCAGGACCGCCAGTCCTTTCATGAGAGAGGCAGCCAGCAGAATTTCTTTAAGCAACCCTTCTGCGGGGGGTGGGGTCTGGCTCCAGACCCTTTCATCAGTATAAGTGACCATCAACAGAGGGCTCCCATTGGTGGGCGTGTGCAACTGTTCCACGCACAATGGGAGCGCACCACATCTGACCAGTGGGTCCTCCAAACCATCCGCATAGGTCTGACGCTGGAATTCCTCTCGCCCCCGCCTCGTCACTTCATCAGGTGTCCCACCCCCTCCTGCCCTGTAAAAAAGGCTCTCATGGAGCAGGAGATCCTCCACCTCAGGGAAATCAGGGCCATAGAACCGGTTCCACCTGGTCACGAGGGGACAGGGTTTTATTCCATTCTGTTCCTTGTCCCAAAGAATTTGGGTGTGTTTGTGTGTGTGGAGGGGCATATTAGATCTAAAGAAGCTAAACCACCATATAGTGTACAAAAAATTCAACATGCAATCCCTCCAATCCATCCTGGGCTGCATCAGACCAGAGGATCTGTTAACGTCCATAGACCTGAAGGAGCTTATCTACACGTCCCCATCTACAAGGCCCACCACAGGTTTCTAAGGTTTTTCTATGCAAGCCAGCACTCCCAGTGCAAGGTTCTGCCGTTCGGCCTGTCATCGGTCCTACGAACCTTCACAAAGATCCTGGCAGCGGTTGTGGCCTTCCTCAGATCACGCCCAGTGTGCCTACAATGCTACCTGGATGACATTCTCATCCAGTCATCGTCCCGCCAGCAACCGACGCTAGACCTGCAATACACAACGACAGTTCTTCGGGACCATGGGTTCTCTGTCAACCTGGAAAAGAGTTATCTGGCCCCAACCACCAGGTTGCAGCACCTTGGGGCCGTCATAGATACTGTTGCATGTCAGGACTCCCCGTTTCCCAACCAAATGACGAGCCTCAGATCTCTCGTGCATCAAATTCACCAGGAAAGGCACGTCCTGATTGTACGGCTGTCCCAGCTCGAGGCTGGCTCTGTGTCATTTTCAGAGCATCATCCAGGGTCACCATGTGAAGATCCTCACAGACAATGTGGCAGTGAAAGCACACATAAATTGCCAGGGGGGCACTCGATCCAGATCTCTGATGGCGGAGGCCGAGTCCCTGGGAAGGTGGGCGGAAAGACATCTGTGCTCAATTCAGGCGGAGCACATATCCGGAGTGAACAACATCCAGGCGGACTGGCTGAGCAGGGCCACGATCAACCATTCAGAGTGGCGCCTGCACCCGGACCTACTCCATTTCCTGTCTCAGAGGTTCGGGCAACCAATAGTCGACCTATTCGCCACTCCAGAGAATGCCACCTCCCAAGTTTCTTCACGAGGTTTTACCACCCGCAGGCAGAAGGTGTCAATGCCTTACATTGCCCCTGGACGCCTAGACTCCTATATGCCTTCCCTCCACTGCCCCTCCTGCCCAGAATGATCTGGAAGATCCTGGAGGAGAGAGCAGGAGTTCTACTCGTGGCTCCCTCTGGCCAAGAAGAACCTGGTTCGCCGATCTGGTGAGTCTGTCCATCAATCCACTTTGGTGGATTCCCTGCAGGAGGTCTCTCTCAGCCAGGGAGCTCTACAACACCCAGAGCCCCAGTGGCTACAACTAGCCGTATGGCACTTGAGAGGGACCTTCTCAGCAGGGGCAGTCTCTCTACTGCCTCCAGATTCTGGACTATTTGCAGGATGGACTTGACCAGTGCCTGGCACCTAACATCCTCAGGTGCCAGATGGCTGCTCTATCCACAATCCTTGCACCCGACTGTCACTCGTCACTTGGACGACACCCCATCATCCGTAGCGTCCTGCGGGGTGCCACCAATTTGAGACCTCTGGTCGTCCATAGGTACCCGTCATGGGAACTCGAGGTGCTGTTACGGGCTCTTATATCTGTACCCTTTGAGCCTCTCCATTCTGCCAGTTTGAAACATCTCACCTTTAAGACAGTTTTCTTAATTGCCATCACGTCTGCTCGACGGATCTGGGAGTTGGCAGCTCTATTGGTGAGAGAGGACTTGTGTCTGATTCATCCTGATACAGTGGTCCTCTGCCTGGACCCAACATTTATTCCCAAGATCAACTTCTGGTTTCACCATGCCCAGGAGGTCGTTCTCTCGGATTTTTGTCCTCATCCCAGACATCTGAGGGAAAAGAGATGGCACATGCTTGACGTCCGCCGCACTCTACGCAAGTACATCAAGCGTATGGCAGCTTTTAGATGTTCTGAATCGCTTTTCATCTCGTTTCAACCTGCATCTCAAGGTCTCAAAGTCTCTTCATCCACCATCGATCGTTGGCTGCGGGCATGCATCTCCCTCGCGTACGTCTTACAATCCAGACCGGTGCCTCGTCATATCACCGCACATTCCACGAGGAGTGCAGCTACCACAGCGGCCTAGGCAACCCAGGCGCCAATAGAAGAGATTTGCAAGGCAGCTACTTGGACTTCCTTATCTCCATTTGTTCGGAACTATAAATTGGACAAATTTGCTTCTGCGGAGGAGGCTTTTAGCGGAGAGACCCTGGACTCTTCTGCTTCCCGCCCTAGTGAAATTTAGCTTGGGTATGTCCCATGGCTTGGACTCTCCAAGCAGCGTACTGGAAAATGACCATTGTCTTACTTGAAGGGTCGTTTTCAGTACGCTGCGAGGAGAATCCAATCCTGGGGTCTTTCTCTGCTTTCACAGTTTATTGGACCTGCTGGTTTTTTTGGACTAGTTTGGAGTTCTTATCAACGCGTACAGTTCCATGCCTTCATTGAAAATCTGGCAAGTCAAGGCATCACCAGAGGCTTGGCTAAAGTTTCAATTCAGTCCTGGACAGATTGGCTGAGTTTAACCCATTGCTTGGACCTCCTTGTAGTGTACTGAAAACGACCCTTCAGGTAAGACAGTGGTCATTCTCATGAATCTCTCTCTGTTTTTGCCAGTTTGCAGACCGAGGTTACCTCTCTCCATCAGTTGGCCCGTCCCGTGCTTTGGTCATGTCCCGGCTTCATGGCCGATTGGTGAGTATCGGAGAGGCAGAGATAGGTAACATTTTTCCTTTTGCTGCTCTGTTGGCTATGCTCCCTCACATCTCTTATCTAGCTTATAGAATCTAGATATTCTAGGTCTGGAGTATCATATTTACAGACAGAATATGTCCTCCACATTCATCATGACTAGGATTGTGTGTGGCTATTTGCATGTTTTTGTGAAAATATTGCAATCTGTGGCTAAGTTCAGGTAATCCTCAGCATGCAACCGTTCATTTAGTGGCTGTTCAAAGTTGCAACTGCACTGAACAAAATGATCTATGACCATTTTTCACACTTATGACCATTGCAGCATCCCCATGGTTTCGGGATTTACATTCGGATGCTTGACAACTGACTCACATTATTACGGCTTCCAGAGTCATGCGATCCCTTTTTTGCGACCTTCTGACAAGCAAAGTCAATGAGGAAGCCAAATTCACTTAACAACCGTGTTACTAATTTAGGAACTCCAGTGATTAACTTAACGAATGTGGCATGAAAGGCTCATAAAATGGGGCAAAACTCACTTAACAAATTTCTCACTTAGAGATAACAAATTTTGGACTCAATAGTGGTCATAAATTGAGGATTACCTGTAATTCTGAATCAGCAAAAGCTGAGTTCTGCAGCCCAGTTACATAATTGATATAAATTATGCCAATAAAGCAAAATGCAGATAGTCCTCAACTTATAATCAATTGCTTAGCATCCATTGGATGGTGCAATGGAGCTTCCGTAGGGGGGGGGGCGGTGTACCTGATTCCAAAGTTCCAACAATCACCTCCCCCCCAGGTCGCATTACCATGTGTTGGGTACTTGGCAACTAACCCACATTTATGGCTATTTGCAGCATCCTGTGATCATGTGACTGTTTCAAAATGCCCCCCCCCTAGAAATTGGTGTTTACTTATAGTGAACAATGAGTTTGCTTAAAAGCTGCTTTGTTTCTTTATAATCACTGTATTTGCTTAATGACCACTGCAAAGTAAAATTGTGTCTGGTCATAACCTGCTTTACGACACAATTTACAACCCTAATTGCCAGGCTGGAGGCTTCCTTTAGCAGCTTTGATTATCTTGCAGAAAGCTGATCCTTGTTCTCAACCACTTTTGAAATTCCCACTTTTGTGTTCAAGAATTATTTTGGGATCCTTAGAGCTAGAAATCTGCTTCCTGTCTAGAATTAAAGCTCAGAGTTTTCGAAAAGTGCTTTGTGTATAATACACACTCATTTTTTCCCCCTGCACTCTCATGGAATTATGTTATAAAACACAGACTTGATCCTAACCCTTCTTGGCTATATTCCTTAATATTGCTTTCCCTTTTCCTACAGATAACCCCCCACTCTGCCTCATCAAGCTACCTGCACCTACCACCCCTTCCTCCCCTGCCCAATCGGCCCACCCCAGGAAAAAGGACATCTATAGGGATCACGGTATGTAGATTTGTACTCTGTTCCTTCTCTGTTACTCAGCCAACAACCCTTCCATCCCAGGCATTATTAGGTGAGATAATTTACTAACTGCATGGAACGTCTAATTGTTATATTTATAGGACTCTTTTCTTCCATTGTTTAGACCAGTGTTTCTCAACCTTGGTGACTTTAAGTCCTGCGGACTTTAACTCCCAGAATCCCCCAGCCAGCTATGCTGGCTGGGGGATTCTGGGAGTTGAAGTCCGCAGGACTTAAAGTCGCCAAGGTTGAGAAACACTGGTTTAGAGTAATATGAATCGATCAGTAGCTGGAACATTTATTCCTGTTTGCACAGTAGATTATATGGGCAGGGATGTGAAGCACTAGATACAAAATGGTTTGGGAGAACTAGAAGTATCCAAATATAATGGTATATGGTGATAGGCAATTTACTACCTGTTGGGTTATCCTTCTTTCCACATATAATATAGGTTGGCACTATTTCTGTTTCTTCATGACCTTTAGTAGAGTCCTGCTGAAGCTTCCTCCTCCTCCTCCTCCTCCTCCTCCTCCTCCCTCTCCCTGTGGAACTGCCTGCCACTGTGCTGGGGATAGGGGGAACCAAGGGACCTGTTGCGTCCCTTCCCCCAGGGAGACTCACCTGTCAACCTCCAGCAACCCCCCAGCCAGCCATACCTTGCCAGAAGGCATCGAAGACACATTCTCATCCTTTCCTCGCTGTCCACTGCTGTTAAGAAAATTCAGATTTTGGCCTTGGTTTCAAAGCAGCCAATTGCTGCTCACCCATTAGGCCTTGCTGTCAACCAATTGGGCGCAGAGGCCAGAGGGAGATGGGACAAAGGGCCATTTCTGGGAAGTGTTAGTAAGAATGACAGTCATGTAGCTGTGGCCCACTGTGGCAGAGCAGCAGCGGGAGGCACTGAAACAGTCATAATTTTGCCAAATTTCAATCCCATGGGAGTCAGGGTTCCTGGATTTTGGTCACATTCTTTAAGCTAGCCTATTTGAGATACGTTGGTTCAAAAACCGTGTCTCAATGATGCAACATTTTGCCCAGTTGAAGCAGTGGTGGGTTTCAAAAATTGTTCGAACCTACTCTGTGGGTGTGGCCTCCTTTGTGGGAGTGGGTTGCCGCCCATGTGACCGGATGGGAGTGGCTTGCCGCCCATGTGACCGGATGGGAGTGGCTTGCTGCCCATGTGACCGGATATGAAGATGCTGACGACACTTGTCAGAACCACCTTAAATTACCTCACACACAGCACTGGCATGCATAAGAATATGATGTAAACTTGTTTTTTAAAAGGCATCTTTGGTTTGCGTTAAAACAACTTCAACACACACAATGTTCTGACAGCACCACAAACGCAGTAGTCATCCTTACCTTTCACAGAGGCGCTGAGTTTTATAAATATGAGCATGATAGTGTAGAATAATCATATCCAAGGACCAGTGGTGGGTTTCAAAAAATTTTGGAACCTCTTCTGTAGGTGTGGCCTGCTTTCCGGGTCCACTGGTGGAACCTCTTCTAACCGGTTCGGTAGATTTGACGAACCGGTTCTACCGAATAGGTGCGAACTGGTAGGAACCCACCTCTGAGTTGAAGCTGACAAACAGACACAAGAATGTTAGTAATACATAGATAGATAAGTACAGATAATCCTTCACATACAATCTTTCATTTAGCAACCATTCGAAGTTACAACAGGACTGAAAAAAGCGACTTACTTCCAGTCCTCACATGATCATGTGGTCAAAATTCAGGCATTTGGCAACTTGCATGTATTTATGATGGCTGCAGCCTTATGGAATTATGTGAATGTCATTTCTGATCTTCAGTGTTCCATTGGAATGTTGTATTGCTGCTAATATAGTTTAGCAAGATTTTGGCTAAACCCCATTTAGCATCACTTTTACTCGATTAATTTGATCAAGAGTCACCATTTTAGTTTTTAAACTATTTCTTTCAGGCTCCTTTTTTGAGATATGGTCATAATATGTCAGAGTCCTCCATGATACCAACATCACCCCTCGGGTGAAAATCTAGTTCCTTAAATTAATGTTTTGCCTCTCTTTCTCCCTGATTGGCTAGGTTCCTTTATGTGAGAATTGCACAAATACTAATAGAAACCTTCTTAGATCCATGTTTGTGGAAAGCTCTTGAACAGGGGTGTCAAACTCAATTTCATTGAGGGCTGCATCAGTGTTCTGTTTAACGTTGGGATGCTGGGGTGGGTGTGGCCAGTTCGATGTCACGGTGGCAGCGGTGGGTGTTCTGCCAGTGAAAACAGGCTCCCGAGCTCAGTTTTCTGCTGCAACGGCCTCCTGCAACCTCCTGCCAGAGAAAACGGAGCTCAGGAGAGGCACATGTGGCCCTTCAAGCTTCGTTTTCTCTGGTAGAGGCATCGTGGGCCAGTCCTTTTCTGTTTCCAGGGTGGCCCCACGGGCCAGATCTAAACATCCCACGGGCTGTATCCGCCCCGCGAGTCTTGAGTTTGATATCCCTGCTGTTGGGCATATACATGGTGCTCAAGCCACCAACTGCCACTTCTTCCCCCTTCTATTTATGGGGTGATAACATGGATGCTCTTTGCTGTCTTTCCAGGGTCGAAACACACTCCGGGAAAGGAGTACCCAATCTCCTGGCAGGCAACGGTTTGAAAGTGACACTGATGTACGCATTTCTCTTTCCTTACCAATGGATGATGTGTATGGTTTGCTTTGCCCATTTCCCTTACAGGCAGTCCTCGACTTACAACAGGTCCTTTAGTGGTCACTCGAAGTTACAACGGCACTGAAAAAAGTGACTTATGACCGTTTTTCACACTTGCGACTGTTGCAGCACACACACACACACACCCCAGTGGTTACATGATCAAAATTTTGAATATTTGGCAACTGACTCATAATTCTGACAGTTGTCAGCGATCACCTTTTGTGACCTTCTGACAAGCAAAGTCAAAGGGGAAACTGGATTCATTTAACAGCCACAATGATTCACTTAACAACTGTTGCAAGAAAGGTGGTAAGAGCAAAACTCATTCAACAAGTGTCTGAACTTCAACGGAAATTTTGGGCTCATTTGTGGTCGTAACCTGAGGACTGCCTGTAGGAAAAGCACCATTTCAGAAAGAAATGAAATGAAATGAAAGATCTCAAAGGTCAATTGTAAAATGAAAATGAAGAACCATTGTTGGCCTAAGAACAAGAAGGAAGGGGATTAGGCAGATTTCCCTAGGGCCAAATAGCAAAAATCCGCTGCCCCCACAGAAAAGATTCCATCCAAGTCTAAAAGATTATTTTAGTTTGTCCAAATTAAATAATTTTGCCATGGTCCCTACTGCTTCTTTGAGACAAGTTGTGGTTAAGGCATCAGGCTGGAAAATGGGAGACCCTGAATTCTTCTCCTGCCTTGGGTACAAAGCCACCTGGCTGCTCTTGGGCCAGCCATTCTCTCTCAACCCTAGAAAAGAGGCAATGGCAATCCACTTCCAAAATACCTTGCCAAAAAGCATAAAGGGACTAGTCTAGGCAATCAAATCTCACCAGGCTCAAAGTTAACTCAGTCTTCCATCATTCCGAGGTGGGTAAAATGAGGACCCAGATTGTTGGGGGCAATAGGTTGATTCTGCAAATCGCTTAGAGAGAGGGCTGTGAAAGCATTGTAAAGCGGTATATAAATCTAAGTACTATTGCTATTTGGGAGTCACTTCTCTAATCAGTTTCCCACTCCCTAGCACCAGACAATAGGCACTCTTGCATTGTATGGGTAAAGGGTAGCTCATTGGGATTGAGGGGACCTATGTCCATGCCTTATTCACACTTTTAACAGCAGCAAAAACTTTACACAATATAAAGATCTGTTTGTAGTAGGTCAAGCACCTGGCAGAAGCATCTGATTAATTTGGAACCTTTCGGTGAATTAAATTCAAAGATTAATCAATTGAATTTTGGAACCATGGAATTTTTGTCATCATAAAGCAAAGGATTTCGTCCATGATTAGTAAACGTCTCTCTGGATGAGTTGGGGCTGTAACTTCCAGTACTCCCACCTCGCGTGTCCGAAAATGTTGGAAGTTGCAGTCCACATTGTGAAAAGCCCAAGGATTTTGACTTGTAAGCTAAGACTTTTAAAAACCAGGTGCTGGTGCACTACGGCTCCCATTGCAACTGGTACATTGCAAAGGGGCTGGATGCCCACCACATGCAGGTGCGCAGCGCACACATGCATACCCACAACCCGTGATGCTCCAGCTGCTCGGCTGAGCATCACACAGGTGCCGTACGCCCCATGCCTGTGTGCAAATGCCCCGGTCGGCTCAAATAGAGGTAAGGAGAGCGAGCGGGCAAGTGGGCCCCCCAGAGCACCATACGGGAACAGTATCTGGTGCTCCCAGCAGGCACCATATTGGGGCATACCAGTTGTATCCTACCATTGCACTGCACCTTCTGAGAGCTTTAGTTGGAATCAGTACATTTTTCCTCCTATGTTTTCAGGCTCTCTTGACAAAATTGTGCGGCCAAGACAAGGTGCTTCGAGGTCTGGAAGAAGAGACAGGTCAGCTCCGTATTGAAAAGGTATCTAATTCCACTTCCATTGAACAAATGAGCATTTGCTTAGCTCTGTTATGTTTGAGAATATTGTGTTTGGTGAATCATTCTGGAATCTCTCCTCTTTTTGGATGGTGGAGAAAAGACTTGCAAGGTACACGACACTTTTGGGATAGAAGGGGGAAAGTGTTGAGGCCCACCAGTAGCTAACAGAACTGGCAGCAGATTCAGACAGTGAGGAGGTTGGGGAGGAACATGGCCCAGTCCTGGGGTCTGGGGAAGGCTCTGATGAGCGTTCTGCGTCAGAGGAAGAGAGTGGGCCAGAGCCATATACCAGTTGTCAGCTGCCTTCAGAGTCAGACATTAGTGAGACGAAAAGCTGGAGCCTGTTCCCAGTGTGCACATGTGCAGAGTGACTAGACGAAGGGAACAGCTAAAGAACAGGGGTCGACTTGGGAGTAAGGACACAGGTGGACGATGAATGGCCCTCCCAGAGGAAATAAAAGAGGAGCGAAGTGGCGTTTGCAGGAGACTATTAGTTTGCTTAATTGGTTCATGACTCTCCGAGACCTCTTGCCAAGTTTTGCAGATATGGGCCTGGCAACTCTCCAAACCAGATAAGGTCTGTGACTGTAAATCCTCCCTTGAAAGACTTTGCTGGATGTGAATGAGCTGAATTCACAGTAAATTAATAAAAGGGTTTTATGTCGGGGACAAGGAGTTTACTTCATGCTCTTGGGAAGCCTCGGTCAGAACAGATAGGTCCAGATGAACCGAAATGAAACTGTGGCAATTCATGGCTTCCTTGCAATGGGAAATATAAGATCTTGCTACATAGAAGAAAGTTTGTCATGGATCAATGTATTTATTGATTTATAAATTATAATTTTTTAACTAAGTAGACAAATCTCTCCGGGCAATTCACAGTAACACACACACACAAACAGAAACAGTGAGATAGAGAGAGAAAAATTGAGCTGAAACGTTCAGGCTGTAGCAAAAGTCAGGCCCCATTGATCAATTGTTTTATTCCTTTTATTCTTAAAATGTTTTATTAATTAGTGGGTTGGACTAGAACACCTTCAAGGTCCTTTTTAGCTTTGCTATTCTGTTATTCTGATTTTTTAAAAATGTATCCTTACAATAAGGTTGCAGCTACCATTTCCGGGTATGCTTCTTGTCTAGACAACCTCACAAGGCTGGCGTTCCTTAACAGTCCTTGTTACATTTCTTTCATAAAATAGAATTATCAGAAATGGAGACCTACTAAGGATGTCTGGCCTTACCTTCTCCCCTGTAGCCAGAGTTGTGTCAACTCAGGATCAGACCTCTCCGTCTGTCTGCACTTTCTTTTCTACCTTAGTTAGCCTGGAGAAAGCTGATGGAGCAATGACATCACCAGAAGAGAGAAGCTAATTTGCCTCTTTTTAAATGTTTTCACCAGCAGTCTTGGGAGATAGTCCAGGCAAAAAGCGCTATCTTTACTATAAAATGACACTGACAGAATCTTGAAAATTTTAAGGCACATCTCTTCCTCCTCAGCTTTACAGTGTAAGAAACTAGGGAGGGTCCTGTCTGAGATGCATCCGGAGGTGGTATTCAGCCGGTTCAGACCGGCCCGGCTGAACTGGTAGTGGGAATCGCTTGTGGGCCTGTCCACCTGCCCCAGCTCTGTGCTGTTGTATTTAGGCATGTTTTCAAGCCGCACACATGTTCAAGCTGCATGCATGATCAAAGCGCATGCATGGAAGGACAAGCGCATATGTGGACAAGCACATGCACTACCACATTTGCAAATGGGTAGGAAAAGTAAGTGAATACCACCCCTGCCCCCACCCATTCCTTCTGTGGACTCAATTTCCAATTTTGTTTAACCTTTGTCTAGCCTGTGGCTCTTCTTCTTGTCTCCTAAGGTCATTTTCACATATATCGCCTGATATCTATCAGAAATGACTTTCCATCTCAAATTGAACATAAGACCTGTCGCCATTTGATTAATTGCCACCGAATATCAGCTGCACGACCTTGGGACTGGTTCCCCCCCTATGCTAAGTAGTCTGTGATACCGTGCATTTCTGCGAAAATGCCTTGAAACAAATGTTGTTTCGTTGCTCCATCAAACTGCAATGAAGGAAAATCTGTGCTGGGTGGACAGTTCTCAAAATCGATGCTGTATTGTTTCAGGAACGCCTTGAAAAGGCCTTGGAAGTAACACACTTGAGGCTGGAGGAATTTAAAGGCCAAGATGCCACCGTGGAGAAGATCTGCTATCAACAAAGACAACTACAAGATGAACTGGTACATACTCGTGCCCGTCTCTGCGATCTCGCTCTGGTGAGTAGTTGCATCTCCCTGATACTTGAGTGAAAATATTTTTGGGAGACACATCCTACCTAGATCTGCACATAGATCAATTGGTAGCTGCGTATCAGGGTCAGGTCTGATCATCAACTGATGGTGTTAATAGTAAAAGAGGAAGAAATACCGTATATCTGTCTTTCCCAGCCGAGAGACATCCAGATGCACTGAAGGTTTTGCACAGGTTCTTGGCTGTTCCTAGCATTGCACTGTTCTGGACAGAGAGCTCTGAAGTTGCTCCTGGGATCTATTGGAGCCACTCTCCCAGCTCAGGGTGCTCCTACCATCACTGGGAGAGCTTAAGCCTTTGTTTGTTTGTTTTTATTTGTCAACAAGTACAAGGAAACAAATATGAAAACACATGAAAAAATGGCACAAATAAATGGATATAAATAAGCAAAACATAGCCATAGACACATAAAAAGAGTACTATCAATGGGGACAGTAGGGCAGGGACGGTAGGCAGACTGGTGTTATTATGCTCACCCCCTTAGGGATCTCTTAAGAAACGCGTAAAGTCCATGGTACACAGATTAAGGTAAAAGGTATGGGGGTTAGAGGAACTAACAACAGGCTCAGGTAGGGTGTTCCATACATTTACTACTCTGTTGCTGGAATCGTTTTTCCTGCAATCAAGATTAGAACGGATTACATTTAGTTTGTATCTATTGATAGCCTTTGTGATATTGCAGTTGAAGTAAAAGTAGTCATATCCTTTATATCCTCTCTAATTCCTCCTTCAGGCCCTGGTGCCCCTCCTCCTTCCTGGTGTTTCTGTCACTTGGTATACACCAGGGGTGGGTTTCTCGCCCCGTTCCAACCGGATCGGTTGGAACGAGGCCGGCGGCGTCCTCGCGCACGCACGCGGCGTCCTCGTGCACGCGCGCGGCACGCGCATGCGTACTAGCGTCTGCGCGATGCTCCAGCTGCTCCTGGAGGATCGCGCAGGCGCTGTATGCGTTGTGCGCATGCGTGGAAGCGCAGAATTTGTAAAAACCGGGTAAGGAGCGGGCGCGGGTGTGCGGGCGCGCGCAGGCGCGGGGGGGGGGGGGCTTCACCGTTCCCGGAAGTTACTTACTTCCGGGTTCGGCGACCAACCGGATCGCAGGGACCGGTGCGAACCGGTCGAAACCCACCCCTGGTATACACCATATCTATGACCACTCCTGTAATCTGCCCCTTGTCTCCTACTACAGTGTCTGGTTGATTGCCTAGTACCTGCCTGTCTGCCTGTCTGGATCTGAAAATCCCACAGGATCTTAACCCTCTTATTCTCCACAACCTTCTGTGGAATCTCCCATCTGTACTTGGGAGAGTCTTGCCCATACAATGTGCACAGCGTTCCTGTAAACAATGCCAGCTACTTGGATATGTTTCTCTGTGTACATGTATTTATTCCTGTCAGTGGTGGGATGCTGCTGGTTTAACAACTGGTTTGGTTGTTGCTGGTTTAACAACCAGTTCAGTGCTGTGTCTTAAAGCGCTTGCTTGCAGCGCTGAAAATTGAGCATTTAGAAGTTCAGCTGCTCACCTTCCAAGTCAGCAAAAGTAGGTAGATCGGAGGAGGGGGGGAATCAGCTGTGCTGCACGATTGACAAGAGCTAAAAAGCAGGAAATAAAGGACAGTGTAGGACAGGGGGTAGGGCCAGCTGATTGCTGGAGCTACCAATTCTTCCGAGGCTGAATATCACCTCTGATTCCTCTAAGATCTGGGCTGCAATAATCCAGATGGCCCTAGTGGTTGTTCTGATATTTTACAGCACAAATTTGGTAAGACAAAGTACAACGATACTTCGGTACTCATTGTTAATTGGCTCCGGGAGTGCCAACAACAATGAGTACCAAACAATTTTTTTCCCCATAAGGAATACTATAGTGAGTTACAAGGCAGCCCACACCAACCAGTTCTAGCTTGTGCATTGAGTACCAAACAAACAATGACTACTAGGACAAAGTTTTCATGTAAAAATGTTTTGAATATCAAATTTTATGAGTTTCAAAGCAGTGGAGTACCAAGATACCACTGTACTGTATCTCATCAGATTTCTCCCTTATCACACAGTAGCACAGGTAAGATGGATCGTATCTTAAGATTTGGTTAGTGTATGAATATGTATTCAGTAGGGAATGTCTAACTAAGTAGCTGAGTCATTGTTTTTGTCCAGGACAGTGAACGAGTATGGGAGGATTATACGGCCTTGGAAAATGATGTTCAGATGCTGAAGGGTTCCTTGGAGCATATCCGGACTGCCGGGCATCCCCAGGTAAATCCTAAATATGAGGGGCAGAGCTTTCTCAATAGTCGCTTCAAACATACAAAACTATTCCAGGGGATACCCACTAGGCTGCACTGCTAAGTAGGCCCTAGTTATTCACTGACATGAGCCTTTGATTGAGTTGACATTTATTGGGTGCTACAATATGTCATGTTTTTTCTGGTTTCTCTTATTAATTTAATAATACAGAATTATAATACAGAATGCATGGACTAATAAACAATTAATTTGGTATAACAACAACAACAACAACAACAGCAACAACACAGTTAAAAATTGACAAAATCCCAATCAGTCAAATGCAAAAAGCCACACTGCCTGGATCTGCACGCATATTACGAAAATACATTATGACGTCCTAGGCCCTTGGGTGGGGCCCGACTAGTAATCAATGCCAAATCCGGCAGAACAACTGGCTGCAGTGATAGAATTCTGTTGTTGCGAATAATAATAATTTCTTTCATTTTATACACATTATTCTGCATTGTGATGGGAATAGGGCCGTATTTCTACAACCAATACACACAAACAGATATATTCCTAGTCTGTTTAATAATAGGGACAGAAAGTAGGAGACAACCTGGATATCTCCATCTTCAGGGTCCATCCATTCTCTTTTTTCATCTATAGGAACTCCTGTTTCTCTTTGATTAATTGCTGAACTAGAAAGTTACTTTTAAACAGTGGGAGAAAAAAGAAAAAAAGACTAGAAAGGCCTCAGTAGTTGTACATTTGATATCAACACATACTGAACATTCCTATTTAAAATACTGCACAGCTTTAGAAATAACGATCGGCCTTTAAAAATTAAGGGAGCGTTTGTAATAGTGCTCCTGCGACTTGAGAGATTTCGCTCTTGTCCGAATGCAATGATGGGAAAAGGCAGAAAGGTGGGAGGGGCATCAGTTGTCTCCATTTGTCCATCAATTCCCTTCCCTTAGGATCAAGCAGCAGCTCAACAGGATTTGTGGAGAATCCACGACATCTTGGCAGGACTGAGATGCAGCCCAGCAAATTATCACACCCTGGAAAACCGAAGATCAGGTGCTTAATGCAATGGGACCAGCACTGCAACTGCACTAGGGGAGGGGGGGGGACGGAGTGGGATAGTTCTCTGTTATGAATCAACAGCGTTGCAACCAAGGGGTTCCTTCTTCATCAGGTATGTCCCATTGTTATACCTGGGATTTATTCCTGGGATTAGTACCCCACTTTTCCAGCAGTAGATGTGAGTAATTGTTGTTTATCATCAAAGAAATAAAATTGACAATGTAGTTGAGAAGGTAAAGGTAAAGATCCCTGTGATTCAGTGTGATTCTTGGTAACTACCTGGATCCTCAAATGCAGATATATATTTTTTCATTTTTCCAAAATGACTTCCAGCTTCCCAGTCCTGTTATTTATTCCTTAGAATGGGGGGAAGGACTCAGCTCCAATTAATGAAATAACAGAGCTGGAAAAGATATTGGAGGCCTTCTAGTCCAATACCCTGCTCAGACAGGAAATTCTGTACCATTTCAGGCAAATGCTTGTCCACTTTCTTCTTAAAAACCTCCAGGGGTGGAGCACCTACAACTTCTGATTAATGTATCACTGTTCCACTGATTAACTGTTCTAACTGTCAGGAAATTTCTCCTTAATTCTAAGGTTTCTTCTGTCCTTGATTAGTTTCCACCCATTGCTTCTTGTCCTGCTTTCAGCTGCTTTGGAGAATAGTTGACTCCCTCTTCTTTGTGGCAACCCCTGAGATATTGGAACACTGCTATCATGCCTCCCCTAGTCCTTCTTTTCATTAGACTAGACATACCCAATTCTTGCAACTGTTCATATGTTTTAGCCTACAGTCGCCTCATCATTATCTAAATTTCTAAGCTGCTGTCTCCTGAGACTATCTTGTAAATAAACACTATCAAAAGTGCAGTTAAACATATCTTGGGACAAACAGCAAACACATCCAACCAGTCATCAGCTTTAGCAGCCAATGACTAAGAATACATAAATGAAAAAAGATGTTTTGACTTTGGAAAGAGTGCAGAGAAGAGCAACTAAGATTATTAAAGCCCTGGAGACTAAAACATATGAAGAACGGTTGCAGGATTTGGGTATGGCCAGTCTAGAGAAAAGAAGGACTTGAGGTGATGTGATAGCCATATTCCAATATTTAAGGGGCTGACACAAAGAAGAGAGGGGTCAACTTATTTTCCAAAGCAACAGAAGGCAAGACAAGAAACAATGGGTGGAAACTAATCAAGGAGAGAAGCAACCTGGAATTAAAGAGAAACTTCCTAACAGTGAGGACAATTAACCAGAGGAACAGCTTGCCTTCAGAAATTGTGGGTGCTTCATCACTGGAGGTTTTTAAGAGACTGGACAGACACTTCTCTGAAATGGTATAGGATCTCCTGCTTGAAGAGGGGGTTGGACTAGAAGACCTCAAGGTACCTTCCAACTCTGTTCTGATCTCTGACTCAAAAATGTTTTGGTCTGTGGGTTGGAAAATAACAGAGGTAGATTTTTAATGGTTTTTTTTTTTGAAACATTGAGTGCAGCAACCAAGAAGGTCTTCTTGTGTGCCCCCCCAGCAGAGAAATCCCTAATAATGTTCTGACTAAGGGAAGAACCTTGAGAGAAAAGAATCATTTGCAGTATTATTATTTTTTTGCTTTCTTCGTTGTAGATGTGTCTCCAAGCTCACCCCCACCTCTGGATTCTCATTTGGGGGCAAATCATCACTCTTTGTTCTCCTGCACTGAAACAAAGGTATTTCAAAAAGAAAAAAGTAACCTTATCTGGACTTTGGCTCCAGAGTGTGATGGACTCTCCCTCACCCCTTGTCTTTCTTTCAGACTTCTGTCCTGTTCTATTTTTATAAACATTCTTTAGAGGCTGAGCATTCTCTTTGCTTGATGTTGACTGTGTATTTAATTTGGGAATATCCTGCCAGAAGATATGGGAATCTCTCTCTCTCTCTCTCTCTCTCTCCCTCCCTCCCTCCCTCCCTCCCTCCCTCCCTCTCTCTCTCTCTCTCCATAAAAAAGAATAGAAATAGTAAAATAGGGGAAGCAGAAAGAGGAGAAAAGAAAGTGTGAGGTAGAAGGGGAAAAAAGAAAAAAAAAGGCATTGACTTCTGACTCATTTTAGCACAGTACTAGATAAAAACATTCCAGCCTCACCTTTTTGTTTAAAGTAAAATAAATTAAAAAGATAAGAAAGCAAAATGATAGTGGTGGTGGTGAAACAGTGCATTCCAGTTATCCATCATCAGGCCAGTTAACAAAACAATGTTATCTGGTAATGAGCTTCATTGGGCTTTGTGGTAGCTTTCCTGTGGCTTTCAGTTTGTAAAACCAATTTGTTACAGAAGGGTTTCACACAGATGGCATACAATCTTTTAGTGTTGCTTCAGAAAAGCAAATAATTTTGCAAAAAGTATTGGTGTTGGACATAACTAGACGCTATATTAAAAGGAAATAAGTATTTGGATTTTGCTTGGTTATTTTGTTCTTCCTCTGATTTTTGTGTCATAATGTGTTTTTAAAAAGTGGTAAAACCTGAACAGCTTTTAATCACCCATCCAACAATTTGGTCAATGCAAGAAGTTTATATTGTAAATTTATCTAATACTCCAGTAGATGGCGCTGAATATCAATTTAACAACAATAGAATTCTTTATTGCCCAAGTACACTCACTGAAAAAAAATTGGAGGTTTTTCACAAAAGTTCCTTTGTTACATGAGTCAGAGCTTCCTTGAATCAACTGGCTGATCATTCTGTAAAACAGTTCTCAATTTATGACCACAGCTCAGACCAGAATTTTTTGTTGCCAAGCAAGATGTTGTTCAAGTGAGTTGCATCCAGTTTTATGACCTTTTTAATGACCTTTTATTGGCCAGGTTTATTAATCAAATCGCTGCAGTTTAAATCACATGGTTGTTGAGCAAATCTGGCTTCCCCCATTGACTTCGTTGTCGGAAGCCGGTTGGGAAGTTTGCAAATGGAGATTACATAACGCGGGGAATGCTTGCAGTCATTCTAGATGCATGTTGATTACCAAGGACCTGAATTTTGATCACATGACAGTGGGGATGTTGCAGTGGTCATAGGTGTGAGGACTGCTTATCACTTTTTTCAGTGCTGTTGTAACTTTGAATCTTGCTAAGCAAATGGTTGTAAATTGAGGCCTACCTGTACAACCTAAGACCACAAATGAGCCCAAAGTTTCTGTCGTTAAGTGAATTTTGCCCCATTTTTCAGCTTTTCCTGCCACGGTCCTTAAGTGAATCGGTGTAGATGTTCAATTAGTAACCCAGTTGTTAAGTGAATCTGGCTTCCCCCATTGATTTTGCTTGTCAGAAGATCGCAAAACGTGATAACGTGACCGTAGGACACTGCAACCGTCATAAATATGAGTCAGTTGCCAAGCGTTTGAATTTTGATCACGTGATCATGGGGGTGCTGCAGTGGTTGTAAGTGTGAAAAACAGAAACTCCCTTTTTTTCAGTGCTGCTGTAACTTTGAACAGTCACATTAAATGAACTGTTGTAAACCGAGGATTATCTGTGCTGGATTCTGTGAATATTTCAACTGATTCAGTGTTTTTCTCCCATCCTCCCGGTACATTTTCTGCTCCCCAGAAAGAGCAGACTTCCCTCTAACCTGTCATCTTATCCACAACATGATGATACAATCCTGATTTTATGCATTGGAAAATGTGCGGTTGGGGGTTGTGGTATTTCAGAAGGTAACCTGAGAACGTGGGGTTAATTAAACATTCTCTTGGCTGTGGAAGCCCCTTGCTGGAATCCGAAACAGCTTCTACAACGTTTGCCATTTATTCCAGGAATCTACTCCCATCTATGGGCCGGAGACAGGAAAACCAGCCAGAATGGGGAGCAAACAGCAGGATAGCCCTGGTTCAGCAAACTGGCAGGTACGGCTGTTTCTAGCACATGGGATGTCTGGGCTCCGTTTCCTTCCCCGACTCTGCTCCCCACTCTGGGCAGTGCCCTCAACTTGACCCACCTTTCTATTCCCTTCCAGCAAAGTCCATCTACCTCCAGCAGAGGGCAGTTGGGAGCATCTCAGCATGTGGATGGACTCAAGGGGTCCCCAAACCATCCCTCCACTGAGCCCCCAGAGAGTGAGAAAGGGAAGGTTGGCAGAGGAGAAGATTCTATTAGACCAGGTGAATGAAACTGAGAGATAAGTGCACTTCCAGGCCACAGTTTGAGCATGGAGCCACTTCCCTGTGGGAAGTCGAAAAGCTGCCCACTTAGCCTTCACCCAGGAAACAGCTTGACTGGCATTAATGGTGCTGTCCCCAATGCTATCCCCAGTTATGGAGGCCATCAAATAGTGGTGTCCTTCTTTTTGGTGTGTAGGGAAGGGCAGGAGAAGCAATGGTGGGCTGTTCCCCCTTCCTGCCTATGACTCTGTAGCTCTGTGAAACCTATTAGTGTTCTGACCTAGACTTCCCAAGATCCTGAAGCAAACTCCTTGTCCTGACAAAAAACCCTTTTATTAATTTACTGTGAATTCTTCTCATTCACATTCAGCACAGTCTTTGGAGGGAGGTGTTAGATTTGGTAATGGATAGGCACACACAGGCTTAACGGTAACAACAGCTCTTTATTGAATACAACAAGAGAGAACAATCCAGCAAAGGCTGAGTCTCCCTTTTATAGGGAGCTGTCAGAGCCTTCGACCAATAGGATTAAACCTCTGTTCCCGCCGGAACAGAGGACCTTGGTGGAAACCACTGTAGTTAGAACTGATATCTAACACCCCTCCCCTCTTAGATGGAACAATCCTACTCGTAACATAGTCACGCAGGTAGGCGGGCCTTTGGGTCACCTGACCTGCGCAGTTCAGTCGAGGGGGTTTCCCTGGACATGTCGGAAAACGGTATCGGCTCAGAAAGGTTTTTCGTTGTCTCGAACACTCCCTCGGCCACAGTATCTGAGAACATGTTCTTCTTGTGGCCTTCAGGAAGGCCCATGAGGTTGTTTGCCTTGAGGAAGCAGTCAAATCGTAGCATGTACAATTCCCAGTGCTTGGTGACTGGGTCATACAGAGTCAGTGGGGCGTGCATAGCCATTTTGTGTACAGAGGGCGATTTGAATTTGCCGCTCAAAAATGGCTGCTCGAAGCCGCGCTGAGCTCCGGGCTGGATTTACTTGCTGAATTGCTACACTCTTTTTGGGTTCGCTTAGTTGACTTCCAATCCCACCTTCGTCACCAGAGTTAGATTGGGTAATGGATAGGCACGCACAGGCTTAACGATAACAACAGCTCTTTATTGAGTACAACAAGTGAGAACAGCAAAGGTTGAGTCTGACAGCAGCCCTTTTATAGGGAGCTGTCAGAGCCTTCGACCAATAGGATTAAACCTCTGTTCCCGCCAGAACAGAGGACCTTGGTGGAAACCACTGTAGTTAGAACTGATATCTAACAGGAGGATTTACAGTCACAGACCTTATCTGGCTGGGATAGGCCAATATCGGCAAGGAGACTCGGACTCCTGCAAACTCCACTCCCTTTCGCTCCTCTTTTATTTCCTCTGGGAGAAGCCGTTCATTGTCCACCTGTGGCCTTACTCCCAAATCGGCCCCTGTTCTTTAGTTGTTCCCTTCATCTGGCAACTCTGTGCATGCAGGGAACAGGCTCCAGCTGTTCTTCTGCCTCACTGAAGCCTGCCTCTAAAGGCAGCTGATAACTGGCATACGGCCCTGGCCCCCTCTCTGCCTCTGACACTGAGCCCTCATTAGCCCTCTTTCCCCTGACTCCAGGACTGGCCCATGTTCCTCCCAACCTCCTCGCTGTCCGAATCTACTGCCAGCTGGCAGGCCATAACAATTAGTGCCTGAGAAACAGCCTAGAGAAGACCCTCCCACCTAGCCCCTGGAAGTTACTTTTTTTTTAATTAAACCCAGGTTTAAGTATTCTTTGGAAAGAGCATTTAATCCAAGTTCATGCTCCTTTTGAAACAGTGCATTGAACTGGACTTCAAAGGAGCCGAATTAACAGGTGACTGTACAGGAAGGAGGGGTTGCCTGGTAGGCATCCCCCTCTTTTCCCATGCTGCTCAGCTCCTCTGTTGCCCAGGTGGCGACTCAAGGGAATGCATAATCACACCTACCCATCCCATCTGGCCCAGCAGAAAGGGTATATTGCAGGCCCCATCCAGAAAGGAATATCACCTGTTGGGATCTAGGAAAAGAGCATTCTCTGCTTTGCAACTTGCCCTATGGAACATCATTTCCCCTGAGGTCAGACTAGCCTGGTTTTGTTGGTCTTCTGAAAGCCAAGCGAAGGACTGAAGATGCAGTTTTGCCAGCCAGTCTGAGGATTTGCTAGCAACGGATGCAGAGCCCGCTAAATGGCTGTAGATTGATTATGTCCTATAAAATCATTGTCAACCCTCAGCATTTACATACTGCAAATTGATTTTCTTCATGGTGATAGGTTTCCTAACCTGGTTCTTCCACCTCTTCAGCTACAGTAGCTCTTAGTTCTACCGTAACTAAGTTTATCCTTCTTGCTACAGGTCATCCTTTTCTTCTCTTTCCCAGCATCAGCACTAACATTAGCACTAGCACTTGAGATTTATATTCTCTGACTGTCAGGGTTTAATTCCCACCGGCTCAAAGTTGACTCAGCTTTGCATTCTTCCAAGATCGGTAAAATGGGGACCCAGATTGTTGGGGGCAATACGCTGACTCTCTAAAGCCCTTAGAAAAGGCTGTAATGCACAGTGAAATGGTGTATATGTCTAAGTGCCATTGCTATATACGTCTGTATAGCACCCTCTAAGCAGTTTACAGAGTCAGCATATTGCCCCCTATAATCTGGGTCTTCATTTTACCAACCTTGGAAGGATGGAAAGCTGAGTCAGCCTTGAGCCGGTCAGGATCGTACTCCTGGCTGCGGGCAGAGTTTGCGTGCAATACTGCATTCTAACCACTGCATTATCAGAGCCTTCCCTAGAGAACTGGGTCCTTGCAATATGGATCCCAAGTAGGATAATTTGGGCCGGATCATTTATGTCTGGAGTGAGAACTTTATAGATTGGCTGTATTGATAGTCATATTGTGCTGTCCTGCTAATTATGTTTTTGTTTCTAAAAAGCTTTTAATGTTTTTGTTGTTATGGGTTTGGTTGTTTTTGGTGGCGCTTTGTGTTTTTAACTTTGTAACCCACCAAGATTCATGTTTCTGTGAATTTTGCAAATTTTAGAGTACCTATCCCTCCCCCACCCTTTCACAGTGCATGAAACTAGGGAGGGTTTGAGACATTTGTTATGCCCACATTTCTTCTGTGGGCTAAGCTGCCTCTTATCCCCTGACCATGGCTCTTCTCCTTGTCTCCCAAGGTCATTCCCTCTTACCATTACAGGCCGCCTCTGGTATATATTACCAGTTAAAGGCAACATCATGAGATATAGCTGGGGCAGCCTTATCTTACATTTATGCACATGATATATGATTAGGTTTCATTCTTGCTTGCTTGTGATAATAACAACAGCTGTAAGGACCTGCCCCAGCCGGTCCCTCAGGAAAATGTTGTATTTTTCAGAATATAAGACGCACCAAGATTTTGAAGAGGCAAATGTTAAAAAAAGGTTTTGTACTGTGCAGACCTCCCAAAAATGGCCCGTTCACTGCAAAAATGGGCCCATTTTTTAAATTAAAAAAAGAGCCTGCATAGCCTTTAGGAGGCTTATAGAGTGCTCCGGGAGGGGGGGGGCGAGCAAAAAACGGCCCATTTTCCGCTCGTTTTTGCCCTCCCCAGCCCCCAGAAGAACTCTGGAAGCCTCCTAAAGGCTCTGCACAGCCATTTTGGTGAAGGAGGGTGGGGGGTTGGGAGGCCAAAAATGCTGTATTCCGTGCATAAAACGCAGCCAGATTTTCACCCTCTTTTTTGAGGGAAAAGGGTGCGTCTTATACTCTGAAAAATACGGTAGGACTCTTGAGTCCATTCAGTTGAATCAAAAGAATGTTTACTGAGAGAAAGTGATTGCAAGGAAACAAGGCAGAACCTGAAAAGTTCCATGCAAAGCAGAAAGCAATTATTTTCATTTCCCCAAGCCCAACCAGACCTGACCAGTCCACTAGCAGCCAATGTGATGCTGCAGAGTAATTCTGAGAACTGCTGAGGTATTATGCAAATAACAGTTCACCCCCAGGGCATGGCAGCCTTGAAACCAAGCTGGAACCTGCTGGAAGGGAGTCCGCTCCATCTCCCAAGGCCATTCTGCTCTCTGATTCCACAGCAGTTACAGCAAAAGCATGGGAAAATGCCAGCAAGCCTCCTTCTCCCCCCACTTCCGACAGAATGGCAAGACAAGATGGTGGGCCTAGAAACAGCACTTAGAGTTACTTTTATAGTCCTCTCTGAGTGGTTTACAGAGTCAGCATATTACCTCCAACAATGTAGGTCCTCATTTTACCGACCTCGGAAGGATGGAAGGCTGAGTCAAGGCTCGAGGTGGTCAGGATCAAAGGAACTCTTTCATTCCAGGTCGCTTCTCTCCTTGATTAGTTTCCAATCATTGTTTCTTGTCCTGCCCTCTGGTGTTTTGGAAAATTAATTGACTCCCCCTCTTCTTTGTTACAGCCCCTCAAATACTGGAATTCTGCTATCAGGTCCCCCCTAAAAGTCCTCCTTTTCTTTAGACTAGCCAAACCCAAATCCCGCAACTGTTCTTCATATGTTTTAGTCTTCCGGGATTTAATCATTTTAGTTGCTCTTCTTTGCACTTTTTCCGAAGTCTCAACATCTTTTTTGTAGACCAAAACTGGATACAATATTCCAGATGTGGCCTTACTAAGGCTTTAGAAAAAGTGGTGCTAATACTTCACGTGATTTTGATTCTATGCCTCTGTTTATACAACCAAGGACTGAATTCGTTTCTTTGGCTGCCGCCGCAGACTATTAGCTCATATTTAAGCGATCGTCCACTAGGACTCCGAGGTCCCTCTCAGAGTTATGGTTTTTTGAGCCAGGTTTTGCCTAATTTACACTTGGGTTTTAACCTTTGGTTTTTCCTGCCCAGGTTTAAAAACCTTGCTTTTCTCCACATTAAATTTCATTGTCCTGGATAGGGTGCATCAAATGGAACAACTTGCCACCAGAAATTGTGAATGCACCAACACTGGAGGTTTTTAGGAAGAGATTGGATAACCATTTGTCTGAAGTGGTATAGGGTTTTCCTGCCTCAGCAGGGGGTTGGACTAGAAGACCTCCAAGGTCCCTTCCAACTCTGTTATTCTTATTCTATTCTATTCTATAGTAAAGTCCTTCCACACCTACCCACATCTTGCACAGATACAGTATAGAGTAAAAACACAAACTCTCATCATTCAAGTCTGTCAAGATCTTTTTGGATCCTGTCAAGCATTACCTGCCCATCACTTTAGGATAGAATAAAGGCATCTCACTAAATATTATAATCTTAATGTAATCAAGGCTTGAGAAGATGGCCAGGTCATCATCTCCATCCTCCCTTAACCTTTTCATCTCTTCCTGCTTAATTACCCACAATACCGCTTTCCCTTCCCATTTCAGGCTGCTTTCCCATTGGTCAGGAAATGTTCCCTTGGGAGAAGCAGGATACCTCTGTAATTTGCATTAGCACTGAATGATGGATCCTTCTATGCTCTTCCAACCAACAGGAATGGCATTTATAAGATTTGATCTTGGATTGCTTACTCAAACGGCTCATTCTGGGATGGAAGCAGAAACCAAGAGAGATAGGAAATTTAATCTTGAAAGTTGTTGTTTTTTTCTCTTTGCTTCCTTTCCCTTCCATAGACCTAGAAGGCTGCATCCATAGAAGTGAAGGTTCTGAACACAGCATTGTCAAGGTATGGCGGGATGGCAAAATTATTCTGCCTTTCTCATTTGCTTATTTATTTATTTATTTGTTAGGTTCTACCCAGCCTTTCCTCCAGGAGCTCAAAAGTGCCATCCGTAGCATTCCTTTTTCTTTTTCCAAAGAACAATCCTGTGAGGTAGGTTGGGATGAGAGACAGCGAGTAGCCCCCCCAGGCAGCATGAGAATGGAGTTAAATTGACTCTCCATGGTGCTAAATGAGTGTTTTTTCAATCTTAGCAAATCAGCCAGTGACCATAGCTGGGGAATTCTGGGAGTTGAAGCCCACGAAATTTTGAACTTGAGAAACACTGATCTGGACCAATTCCTTAACCGCAATGCCATCCTGGCTCTCCTCTAGTGCTTTTCAGATGTGACCTGGGAACTATAGTTCCAAGATATTTGGTTGAGGGATGGCGGTTGAAGGGATTAAAATAGTCATTTTATTCATTCTAGCTTTTCATGAACATGCAATGGCTCTTGGAACTGCAACTAAAACAACTTTTTTAAACAGTTTCTGGAATTTATGAGGAAAGGGATGAAGTTGTAATGCAGGGGTGGGGAACCATGGGCCATTCATGACTTTTGGACTTCAACTCCCAGAATTCTTGAGCCAGCCTCTGAGTGAGGAATTCTGGGAGTTGAAGTCCACAAGTCATTAAAGGGCTATGGTTCCCCACCCTTTTCATAATGGATGAATAGCAGTCAAGTCACAAATGATGGCAAAGGCTGTGGATGATGGTAAAAAGAATGCCAGCATGGCAAAGCAGTAGCTCACCAAAGGGCCACACATTTCTTTGTGCTGTGAGGGATGTGCATTATAACATCATGGTATCCCTGGAGTGGGCAGGGCAAATGTTTTTGGGAGACGCAGTATAGGGTTCCTTAACAACTGGAAGATTGGCTTGATTTGGAAGCTGGTTTAGGATTTGAAAGGAAATTGAAATTCAAATTATTTTTACTACCGGTTCTGTGGGTATGGCTTGCTGGGCGTGGCACCAAGGGAAGTGCAAAATCCCCATTCCCTCCCCATTCTAGGGCCAGCCAGAGGTGGTATTTGCTGGTTCTCCGAACTACTCAAAATTTCTGCTACCGGTTCTCCAGAACCTGTCAGAGCCTGCTGAATTTGACCCCTGATTTCATCCCTTCATGGAAAAGGAGGGTCCAGTCCAGGGGAGACAAAGAGGGTACTGAGATAGTTCTCCCATCACCCTGGGGGTAAAGCTTACTCATGCTTGCAGTTGTGATAAAGGACTGAAAGGAGAAGAAAACCTTCTGAGGTAAAAATGTGGCACCTGAGCAGTGACTTCTCCCAACCTTCCTTTCTTCCCTCACATCCAGGTGGCCTCTTCCGAAACGACGGTCCCGCGGCGATCCCGCATGAGCGCCCAGGAACAGCTGGACAGGATGCAGCGGCACCAGGAGGCCAAACGGAAATCTGAGGCTGCCCAGCCCCCACCCTTGGGCCACTGGCGAGACTCTCTCAAGCATGGGTCTAGCCGGGTGGGTGTGAAGCCTTGCGGGGAGGGGGAGCGTAGGAGAGCAGCAGGGGTCTTGGGTGGACACTTGAGTGAATCACCCTGACGCTAAGTGGGAGAGTGGTTCTTTGGCCCAGAGAGGAGCCAAAATACATTGGGTGTGAGAAGGAGAGAGTTCTAGAGTTTCTCATGCTGTGGTGGAAGCCAGCCACTTGGGTTTGCTGAGAGGAAGCCCGAAGAAGGTTCCAGAAGCTGGGTCTTCAAAGACAGGAGTGAAGGGGGCTACATCCCCCTCTTGGGTGGGACGGGGGTGGGGGCTGAGGAAAGGAAAGGTTTCCACCAAGGGTGGTTGTGATTTTTTCGCATTTATCCAGTGAAACCGAAGAATTGCCTTCCAGGCTTTGTAAATCAAAACCCGAAGGAAAGGATGGTGTGCTTAATTTCTAGCTTAGAAACGAGGGGTGCTTTGTCAAGAGCTGGGGCTACATCTCTGTTGCTCATGCCACCTTCCCCTCCCATCGTTTAATCTCTCCTTCAGCCCCTTCCCAATGCCCCCCCTGAGTCATCACCCAAGGAGGGAATGCAAATTGGGGAAGTCAAGCCTCCTCGGTGCCCCCCAACCCCTGAGTGGGAGCGACAGCGGGTAATGCAGCTCTCCTATGCGCTGGCGACCGAGGCTTCGCAGCGGGGAAAACTCCTCACAGGTACTAGGATAGGCCACTGTGTTTGTTTATTTGTCCCAAGCATGTATGTCCTGCCTTTTGATCCCCTGGTTTTTTTCTCTCCCCCAAATAGCTCCATGTTAGGGTGGTGATTCACCTAAGTAGGTAAAATACTGACTCAGATCCCTAATAGGCAAGAATACCAACCCCCAAAGCTATGTTTTGGGGTTGCTGTTTTTTTTTGCAAAATCTGATCCAAAATGTACAACTCACAGCCTCTTAAATTGCCCATCACCTCTTTAGTTCTCCCGTTCTGCCTTCTATGTGCCTGAAAGTAAATGCCTTGTTCTGACCTGCACTAGCCAAGTAATATAGAGAGTCCTTGACTTGTGACTGTAATTGAGCCACACATTTTCATTGATAGGCGAAACCTTTGCTAAGTGAACTTGCCCCATTTTACAACCTTCCTTGCTACAGTGAAGTGAAGGGGATCACATGACCCCAGGACACTGCAGCTGTTCATAAATATGAATCAGTCACCAAGTGTCTGAATTTTGATCATGTGACGATGGGGATACTGCAATGGTCGTAAGTGTGAAAAAGAGTCATGTCGCTTTTTTCATTCCTCTTGTAACTTTGAACGGTCACTAAATGAACTGTTTTAAGCCGAGTACCACCTCTATATAAGTATTATTTTATAGTTTCTGGACACTTGTATACCTTATTCCCACATTTTCCAAGGCATTCCCAGGACATCATCATTGTGTTAGATACAGGCCAAGAGCCTTAAACTTCACATGATTTTCCTTTGTGTTTTATTTGGATATATAGTGTCATAATTTTTATTTTCCTGCCAGACATTTCCCAACAGATGCAGTTAGTCCTCAGTTAACAACGGTAACTGGGACCAGGAACTCCATCACTAAGTGATATAGTTGTAAAGAATGACATCATGTGATTTATGATAGCGGTTCCAGTTCATCAAGGGAATCCTATAATCCTTAGGCGTGATGTCACATCATCCCCATTTTAACCTTCTGTTGGCTTTCCTCATTGACTTTGCTTGTCGGAAGCTGGTAGTGAAGATCACAAATGACCACCACATGGGACATTGCAAGCATCATAATTGCAAGCCAATTCCCAAGCATTTGGATCATGCCTATAACAACTATGGCCATGTTGCTTGAACACAACTTGGAGCCCAGCTGAAAGGGCCTTCATAACTTTGAATGCTGGCTGAATGAATGGTTAACTAAAGACTATTTATTTATACATCAATTTTTTTTAATTCAGCTGCCATCTCTCTTATAGAGGGGCTTTATGTATAAAGACTAAAAACTCTGTGTATAAAGACTTACCTGGATTTTTTCCGTGGTCAATCCATTTTCCTATCCAAACTCCTGCACGCAATACAGACCTTGTTAACTGCAGAGGTCATAATAAAACTGTTTTCACTTACATGTTCTTACAAAAAAGTAAAGGCTCCCTTGAGTCAGCTGCTGGTGATTACTTGGACAGATTGGTGATGTTTTCCTGGCAATGATACAAAAGTGATTCATTCATTCATTCTTGGGAAAGTTTTTACAGCTATCCAGCCTGGCTTATAGCCCTTTCAGTATAAGTGCTATGTAGGATCCAGTGCTTTAAAAACCGAAGCAGTAACCCTCTTTAAGCATGCACATGTATAAAGAATTGAATAAAGACAGATGAATTAACACTGAGAGCAAACACAACTCCATTTAAGCCATGGAGCCCTGTACTCCTAGACTTACAACCACAATTGGGACAAGCATTTCCGTTGCCAAGCATCTATACTGAATTATGACTCATGCTTGATTTTATGACAAGAGTGGATTTGTTTGTTAAGTGAATCACGTCAGTTGTTCAGTGAATCATGTGGATCTTAAGCAAATCCAACCCTCCCCTATTTATTTTACTGGTCAGGAGCAAATGGCGATCATGTGACCCTGGGGTGCTACAACCACTAGAAATACATTCCAGGTGCCCAGAAGTTGAATTTTGATCACATGACTGTGGGAATGCTATTGCAAGTCCTAAGCCTGGTCATAAGCCACTTTTTTCAGTGCCATTCTAACTTCGAAGGATTACTAAATGGATGGTTGTAGGTCAAGGATTACCTGGATGTTCAAGCCAATGCTACAGAGGCTGCATTGTTCCACTACTCCCTTATCATTGCATGGACCTACCGTTCGTTGTTTGTTGAACCCCGAGACTAATTTGCAGATGAAGCCCATCCAAGATGCCAGATGAAAACCCATCACTGCTTACATAATATAACAAAAACCCAGGCTTATGCCTGGAACCCCAGAAAACATTTACAGTAGAGCGGGATTAGTTTAATCCTTTCTGCTTTTTGTCATTTATTTTTGCTCTCTCCTATATGACCAATTAATTGCCTTCAGGGCATTTGTAATTAAATATATGTGCCAAACTCTAAAAAAAAAAAAAGAGCCACAAATAGCCACCCACCGGTTCTCTGAAGCTGGCAATGAGAGGGCTATCTCTGGATTTCTCTTTTTGTACTTTTTTACAAGGAGCAACACCATGAACGAACATATCAGAAAGCTTTTTCTGCGACACCATTTCACAGGAGCCCTCTGTGCAGCTTTCTGTGCCGCTTGTTAGAAATGCAAAAATATGGCTTGTAGTTGTCTTCTAGTTGCCACAATCAGTTGACTTTGGCATTTGTGGGCCTTGCAGCCAAGACTATGCTACCTCCCGGAAGATGTGAATGAAGTAGTAGCCACAATTCAGTGTCATTATTCTAGCCAATTGCCCTGTAATTCTCTGGTCATTCCCCCCTTCTCTTACTAACCACAGCTGACTCTGCTTAGCTTCCAGATCAGCCAATGTCGGATAATGTTGCCCTCTTACTGAAACTATTGACCATCTTATATATTCCAAGTAATTATGCCTATTGTCCATAGAGCTTGAGTGCTTGGTGGATCAAGGTTTTCTAATTTAGTTCATGTCTTTTTCTCCCCAGGAAGGACCAGTTCTCGCTCCTCCCTAGATGATTTGCTTGCCTCAGAAGATGGCTTGAACCATCACTATTTTCCTGGGGATGGCACCTGCATAAAGCTAGACTCTAGCAATACAACAGATGGACACAATCAAACAAATACTCAGAGTCCCAGCTGTAGCACTGACCCTAAAGTTGCAAATCAGGTGCCAGCGTCACCCCAAGCAAACAAACCAATGTTCAGTTCCTCAGAAGCTTCTGACTGGTCCTTGCCTTGCCCTTGCGAGGAAAGTTGGTTGCCATCCAAGCTGAAGACTCCACAGCCAGCATCCCACCTGTTTGACCCAGCCAGAGAGGAGCCATTCCTACTCGGCGGTCCTCATTGGGAGGAACCTTTGCCTCAGGCAACCAATTGGAATGGATGTTTTTGCAGAACAGCCAATTGGGTTCTGCCTCCTGTATGGGACTTAGAGATGTGGGCAGCTGATCAAAAGCTAGTCGGCAATCCAAGCCTAAACAATGGGAGATGCATCCATTGGAGAGGTGAGCCTCAACAGGTGGCAGCATATTTTGGAGAAATGGCACAGCCTGTTAAGGTCACCTTGATAAAATCAAGTTTTTAACTGAAGTGGGATGAAGAGAAGATCTAAAGTGTCATAAAAGAATAGGGGCCAGTCTTGGAGATGGTTGCCTGCTCTCTTAGAAATATTCAAAATAAGAACATATAAAACCTTGGCCTTTTAGATCAGAAACACCATATCTCCTGTATGTGAACATCTCCAGCATACCATCTGTATTTCCCAATTGAATTTTCTCAGTTACTTTCTCACCAACTCATCTAGTCTAGAAAAACCATGATTTTTTTTGTTTAGTTTTCGTTGTTGCTCCAGTCCTAGACGCTCCCGGAAACAAATCATGATGAGTTCCATGGTCTCAGTCTATAGCAGTGTTTCTCAACTTTGGCAGCTTTAAGATACCTGGACTTCAAAGTATCTTAAAGTTGCTAAAGTTAAGAAACACTGGTCTACAAATTTATATACTGGGTTGGGAAATGGGGGCACTCAATTTCAAATCCATACGTATTCAAGACGTTTAGTAGTTATGGCAGAGAATGCTCTTACTCTTTGATTTTTAGGAGGTCAAAATCCACCAAGATTGCTTCAGGAAGTGTTTCCCCTTTAAGAAAAAAAAAAGCTAAAGTATCCTTGTATAGATGCCTGTTTATAATGGGGAACTCCTAAAAAATAAGGTTACCATGTACAAATATTTGATAAATAGATAGACATCGGTGGATTCCTGACCATTAGTGTCTGCAGATATTCCTATTCGACAAATAAATTCCAAAGGCATATCATACTGTACATCCTAGTTGGATGATACTAATACTTTCTGCATTTTTTTAAAAGATGCAGCTTTAGATCCCACCTTTATTATTTTTATAAATAATTCAACATGGCAAACATAACAAATACTCCCCTTCATCCTATTTCCCCCACAATGCTAACTCCGGAAAGTGAGTTGGACTGAGAGCAAGAGAGATTGGCCCAAAGTCATCCAGCCGGTTTTCACGCTTAAGGTGGGACTAGAATTTACCGTCTATTAGTTATTGTCCCAAAGTCACCCAGCCAGTTTTTATGCTTAAGGTGGGATTAGAACTCGCATTTCACTTTTGCTTACAACTTTGCAGAGATTCCTGGCTTCAGAGAGATAATTTCTCATTCCATCTTGCAAGCACCTATGTTTCAGTGCTGTTGCCATTGTTGAGACATTATTCAATTCCCAGATTGCAATTGCCGGTGGGGGCACTCCTTTTTCATAACAGCATGGAAGTTATTTGAACATTCCTAGGGGTGAAGGTAGGAACAGAGAGGTTGTTTTTTTCCAGCAGTTGCTTATATCTTTTCATAATTTGTTTTATTAATGTTATCTTTTGGGTTGTAAATGGATATCTTTTTTTCTGTAAATAGGGATGGGGTTTCAGAGATAAGGATTATTTTCCTGGGATGCCCTATCAAAATGCAAGCTCTCCTTCTAGATGACTTAAGAAGCAACTGTACTTGCATAAGAAGAAGAAAACATTGGGAGGAAACTGCCACTAAGATCTCTGAATGGGAGTTTTATCTCCAATTGGAAAGAGAAAGAATAGTTTGATTGTGTGGGGAGAATGATTGGGCAATGGCTGTATTGAAAAAACATTTGGATCTGTCCTAGCAAGTACAAGGAATGTTTCTCATGAAAATGGGTGCCTCTTAAAACAAAGGCAGTGATTTATATTTTGAAGGCATCTCAAGACTGGCTGACTTGTTCCCAGTACAAACAGTCGGTGGCCTGTGCAGGAACGTATCCCATAGTTATTGACCAGAATTGACATGTCAATTTGCCTAGAACTGCATCAAACAAAAGTAGGGAAGTCAGTAAGGGAATGAACAGGAAAGTGATGAGAAGTGTGGGAAGTACGAATACACTGAATGGAATTGGAGTGGTTTCAGGGGAAAAAAATGACATAAGGAAAAGAGCTAGTTAGAAAAAGCTGAAGAAGAAAAAGTGATACGAATTATTGACCCTGATGAACATTTTCTTCCATTTCTGAAATGTAGGGGCCTAAATGAAGGAGTTGCTTACTTGGAATCTAGCTGGAGAATTAAACAGGGTCACCATAATGTGAGAGCCAGTTTGATGTACTGGTTAAGGCATTAGGATAAGAACCAGAGGTCTGTAAATTGTAGTCCTGCCTTAGCACAAAGCCAACTAGGTGACCTTGGGCCAGTCACTTTCTTTCAGCCCAAACAAAGAGGCAGTGTCAAAACTTCTTCAAACTTGCCAAGAAAACTGCAGAGACTTGTCTAACCAATCTTCAAAAATAATAATATATATTTGTAGTTGTAGTGGGTCCATTACTCCCTAGCGGTTCCAGATCAAGCCTGTGATGGCTAGGTTACAACATGTGAGCAGCCAGTAGAGATTAGCAAAGAGAAGCAGAAATTCTAATTCTTGACTGCCAGCTCATGTTTGTCTAGACCAGTGTTTCTCAACCTTAGCAACTTGAAGATGTCTGGACTTCAACTCACAGAATTCCCCAGCCAGCGAATGCTTAAAGTCTTTCTAACAATCCCAACAGATTCAGCAGGGCCTACTCCGCCACAACACCAACATTGCTGAGGTAGATTAGCTGAGAAATTTCTACTTGTTAAAAGATTCTTGTACAGATTTTGATAAGAGGGTTAAAGAATAGCACCCAAACCTATCCTGGAGCACAAAAGCTCAAGAATTTGAACAAAGCAGCCAAAGATTCCTGTTGTAACAGCTCCTTGCTCTGTTGAGGCACCTGTCTTCCCATGCAGAATTATAATTCTCTTTTAAGAATCAGAATATTTTTACTGTATTTAAGGAGAATGTGCCAGCTACTGCAGGAACTTCCTCAGACATGTAAACACTAAGCCTTTCCATGTGTGAATTATTCCAATTTGTATAATCAATAAACATTGTAATGTATCTCTGAGCCTTTGCCTATTCATTGAGTGAGGCTGACAGATTAGGATTTGGAAGCAGCCACCCACTCTGAAGCTGAGTGGGAAAGATTTGAAAAACCAACATCTGAAAACTTGTTCTGCATTCCAAATAAGTGAAATCAGTAACTCCAATGCCTAGTAAGGGACTTCTTTTCCACTTTTAATTTAGCTACACTGCTTTATGGTCCAAATAATTTGTTAATGTGTTCTTTATAAATTCGCTTTAGAATGTAAATATTCTTTTAATGTACAGTTCTAAGAGAAAGTGTTTCAGAATTACACATCACAGCTACTTCCAAATAATAAATGAGGAATACTTTTCACCCAATTTCTCTTTTACACAATTTCATATACAAAGACACACAAGAAACAAAAGAAATAGGAATAATTGAATCTTGGAGGAACATGTATTAGATTTTTAGAAACACAATGAAACAATGACATATTGGCCAATTCCATTCTCCCCCCTTGAATTTTTTGGCATTTGCCTTTTTTTCTTTTCTTCAAAAGAATGTTCTATCTACAAATTATATAGTCTTTAGACATTATCTCTTTTGGTTTCCTAGTTTTACAAGTGGAACAATACTTGAGAAAATGCAACTGAAAAGAGCATGAATTTGCCAAAATGTGGTTCTGCTATTTGGAGAATACTGAAACATATTTTTCCATCAGGAATTCAGGATAACATCCTGTAGGCATTTGCTTGCCTCTAGAGTTCTGTGAGACAATTCCTATTTACCAAAAGGATTGGAAAAGGAATCATTGTAGAGCAGAGGTAGGCAGTGTATGTGAGTACACAGTTCCATTTGTGAGTGCGCCCTCCACTCAGGCATACCGAACTTTGTGCGCAAGCAAACGGTGCTTCTGCTCATATGTGAAGCTCCATTTGTGTGAGCGGCAAACACTTGCGTGAGCAAAGCTCCACACCAAAGGTGGGTTCCTACCAGTTCGGACCGGTTCGGCCAAACCGGTAGTGGTTTGGCACCCTGGGTTGCTGGAACTAGCAGTGACCCAGGCCTGAAACGCCCCTGAACCGGTTCTCCTATGGGGCGGCCATCTTGATTTTTAGTTCTGTGCATGCGCAGAACAATTGTAACTGCACACATTTAATTTTTTTGCATGCACCGAACTGGCAGTGATGCTGGGAGCAACCCACCACTGCTACACACACACACACAAGCAGAGGACACTGAGTGGTAGGTGTTTTGCTCCAAGCTCCATTTCTTTTGCGGCCTGGTTTCAACCAAGCCATGGCCCGGTAGTGGGCCATGCGCTGGGGACTCCTATTGTAGTGAGTGAGTCTTACAGACAGTTTTGCTTCTCTTAACATTATTTTCACTATACTTTTTGCCATATTTTGAACATCTTATTTTTTTCTTTCTCTCCATCCACAAATATTAAATAACATATCTACTTGTTCTGGTGTGGTTTTTTTTGCCATTTATCGATAACTTACAATTGTTCACTTAGTTTTGCCCATCAATCGTAACTATTTAGATCTTGGTAAATAATTTTCAGATCCATATTCCTAATTGCATCATACAATCTATTATTTGCTGCAAAGCATGGTTTGCATACCAAAACACAATTCTTTGAACTCTTGGCTAATTATTTGGTTTACAGAGAACATTCCGTTAGAATCTCTTGGTTTCCACCCATCTTATTGCCAGCCTTAAAGTCTTTCTAAAAGTCCCAATTTTCAGTTTTCCAAAAGGCTTTCCTTCTTCACGTGGCTTATTTATTTGCAGTTTCACGATCTCACGCTTTTCCAATCTGCTACCTCCTGCAATTGTCTATTCTTTCTCCAAAATATTTGTTTTTCATTTAAATTGCACTAGTATCAATCAATACACATGTAATGAAATTAGTGTTTCTGTAACCATAAGCAATGAAGAGAGAGGATAGAAATTAGAACTAATGGCAGGGAAAATGAGCACTGAACAGATGATATCCTGGACCATAGATTGCAGTTCAAAAATCCTACTTTTGCTGTGATTTTAATTGGTGACTATCAAAGCAAGCTATTCTCTCTGCCTCTCGCCACTGCTGACTTATTCCTCACCAACCCTAGAGTCAAAAAAAAATAATCAGCCTGAAGGTTGCTGCCCCTACTATTGATCTTCATCTGTTTTTTCTCTTCCCAAGCACTGCAGTAAAGTAATCTGATTTTTCTCTAAAATAATGGATGTTCTTAGTGCCCAAATAAAATTATCCCAATTTCTGTCGATAAATTCCAGATTAGTTGACGCCCACCACTTTTCCAGTCAGTTCTTGTATTTAGAGAAGAGAGCAAGTGCATAGGCCACTAATGCAGAGGGCAGAGAATTTTATTTATGTGTTAAATGTCAGCAAATGTCAAAACAGTGTTTCTCAACCTTGGTGATTTTAAGTCCTGTGGACTTCAACTCCCAGAAGGGGATTCTGGGGGATTCTGGGAGTTGAAGTCCACAGGACTTAAAGTCACCAAGGTTGAGAAACACTGTGTCAAAACAATTAATGGCAAAAATGAGACAAAAGGCAGGAAAAGGCAAGAAGAGAATAAAAAATACAGTAGACCTCAATTTTACAACCATTTGCTTAGTGACCGTTCAAAGTTACAACGGCACTGAAAAAAGTAAATTATGGTTGTTTTTCATCCTGACAACCATTGCAGTATCCCCCCCCCCCCCATGGTCACATGATCGAAATTCAGATGCTGGGCAATTGACTCATGTTTATGATGGTTGCTATGCCCGAGGGTCAAGGGACCACCTTTTGCGACCTTCTGACAGGCAAAGTCCAAGATGAACCCAGATTCACTTAGCAACTGTGTTACTAGCAATAGAGTGATTCACTTAACAATGTGGCAAGAAAGGTCATAAAATGGGGCAAAATTCATTTAACAATTACAACAACGTACATTTTGGGCTCAATGGCGATTGTAAGTTAAGGACTACTTGCAAACAAAGTCAAGAATGTATTCAACTAAAGCAGACGTAAAGTGAGATTTGGACATTAAGTGTGAAACCTACTGGGTCAGGCTGGACAGCCTCTTATAGCCCCTTTACTTCTATATTAAAAGCCACATAGACAGAGTTGGAGCTTGCAAAAGGAACAGGAAGCCAGTGCCTAACCACAAGATGTCTCTATGTCAAAAGTCTATGTCAAAAGTCCAAGGTTCAATTAAAGTTCGTTAATGACACGTACTCCATAAACAAAAGGAGAAGTAAGATCCCATCTCCTTATAAGGTTTTCTCCTCAAGAATTGTGTTAAGTATTTTCGTGTTGCAATGCTTTTGAGAATGTATAAGAATGCGTGCTCCGATAATTAAGGTTGTTCAGAACTTGCAATGCTAGCCATGGGCTAGCTTTCTGAACCTGGCTGCCAAATAAACTTTTCCTGTATCCTGAGAAGTCTAAAGCCTGTCATTTTCTGCAACACAACCTATCTTCCTACATGTCATGTCATGTCAATATACACTTTCTAGAGCAGGAGTCACCAACCTTTCGGACCTCACGGACCATTAAATTCATAATTTTACATCCCGCAGACCACTAATATGATCTGCCTAATGACTGGCTGGGTGGGTGTGGCTAGGTGGTCATATGACTGGGTGGGTGTGGCCAACTCATCACTAATATTGAAGGGCACCTCACCAGCCTCCCCCCTCCCCTCCCAGCCACTCCTCGCCTGCCCACCCGGGCTCCTTAGGGCCCCAACAGCAAGCAGTTGTTGGAGCTAAGCAACCACCAAGAGTTGGCAAAACAGCTGGCTCAATTCCAATTGGATCTGACGAAGAAGGAGGCTCCATAGAAGCACCTCACTGAGGACTAGGAGCATAGGCTTTCAAGCAAAGGAAAGATCTGTGGGAATGCAAGACCAGGTATCTGGAGGCTCAGCGGGCTGAGATGGCCAGCCAATTCCAGGCCATTATGCAGTCCCACTGGAACAAGGCCCTCTGGCTCTTCGCCACCAGTGGCACTTCCCTCCAACCTTCGCCCAAAGCGCCTCACCAGGAGGCCGAAGTAGATTAGTTTGCACCTAAGTCGGAATTTCATCCCCCACAACCTACACAAAAACACCCAAAAGATGGAGACTCTCTGCAGCAACACAAATGTTCATTGCACATATCCGGCCCAGGGGTCATAGTTTGAGGACCCCAGATTTAATGCAATATAAAAAATGCAAACAATTTTTCTGCGGACCACCAAAATTTTCTCACGGACCACCAGGGGTCCATGGACCACCAGGTGGTGACTGCTGTTCTAGAGCCATTGAAAACAATGCTGAAGATGATTAGCATGATTCTTTTAGCCTTTCATGTACTCAATGGCAGCAAAATGGAGATGGGGAAATAGGATGCCAGCAGATCCTTCCTCTGGTCCACATCATGAAGGAAACAATTTAGTGGGGACGGATGACGTATTCAACAGACTGAAGCTTGAGATGAAGGCCAAGGGATATAGTAGGAGAAATGACTTTTCATATTTTTTCCAGGTGATTGTACTTACCAGGTAAGTACAAGTAAGAAGCTCCTCTCTTTTTTAAAATTCATTTTCATTGATATTTGATGTAATGATGTCAACAATCAGAAGTACACAACTTTTGGGGAGTTAGTGGCAGGGCTCAACCTTGAATGGAATGCTGGAGGCCATATTCCAAAAGATAGCTATTGCCAGGGAAAAATTAAACTAATTCCATTCCCTTTTCATGTGAGTTTCATTAAGGTGAAATCAGTACAGTCTACATTTATTATGTCTCTGGTATAATAAAGATTCCAATTTAGTAGCATCTTCTGGAAGTCCCTGAGTGCAGACCTCAGTGCACACCTGGGGCCCATGAAACTCCAGTTTTATAAGACTGTTATAAAATTACAATTAGTCTAGAGCATGTTTCCCAATTGTGCTCATTTTAAGACGTGTGGACTTCCACTCCCAGAATTCCCCAGCAAGCATAGAACCTAGAATCATAGGCTGAAAAGGGACCTTGGAGGTCTTCTAGTCTAACTTCCTGCTCAAGGAAGGGGACCTTAAGCCATCCCAGTCAAATGGTTGTCCAATCTAATTTTGAAAACCTCCAGTAATGGAGCATCCACAACTCCAGAAGGCCAGCTATTCCATTGATTAATTGTTCCCATTGCCAGGAAGTTTCTCTTTACTTCTAGGTTCGATTCCTCTTTAACAAGCTTCTACCCATTACTTCTTGTCCTGCCTTCTGGCGCTTTGGAGAATAAGTCAATCTCCTCTCTTCTGTGACAGCCTCCCAGGTACTGGAAGACAGTTATTATGTCCCCCGCCGCCCCGCCCCCACCATCCTTTTTTTCCATAGGGCTAGCAGGCTTTTGTTTATATTTATATTTTAACTCTGTACTATAATGTATGATTGCACATAAATAATGAAGTAAATAAAATTACTGCAGTTTTATTTCCACTTACTGCTTCGGAGCAGTGAATTATGATAGTTCCCCCCCCTCCTCCCCCCTGCTGTTTTCTGAAAACAGCAGAAAACAAAAAAAAGACTCAATTTCCCAGCATGCCGCTGGAGAAGGAGCATGCGTAAAGGTCGAAAACCCCAGGAGGCTGAAACTTTGTGTCCAAAGATTAGCTCTGGCTCGCTTGTAAATCGGGATTGATTTCGATTGCAGCCGGAATGGCAAGTGGGCAGCGGTACCCGGGCAAGGTCGTCATAGTAACGGGGGGTACCGGCGGCATTGGCGAAGGCATCGTGAGAGAATTTGGTGAGATTAGGGAGATGGAGTGGGGAATGGGAAGAGGAGCAGGGAGATTTTACAAAAGAAAAAAAAAGGTAGGCGGGGAAGTTCGGATCTTCAGTGTAACCTCTACGTGAAGCGTTAGCCTCAAAGTTAATGTGTTGAACTGGGGTGGGTCTAGACCAGCCTTGGCAACTTTAAGACATGTGAACTTCAATTCCCAGAATTCCTCAGCTGATGAATTCTGGGAATTGAAGTCCACAAGTCTTAAAGTTGCCAAGGTTGGAGACGCCTGGTCTAGACCAAATTTGGAGTCAAAGAGGTGACCTCCGTATGTGCTCAGATGTCTAGATTCAAAGAAATCCCCCCCCCCCCCAGCATCTGCTATTGGGGACAACACCTGAACAGAATTGCCATTTAGTTTAGCCTTATATAAATTCCTTAACCTTTTAGGATGCTATAAAAGAAAAATTAAAGAATCATTTTTGGGCTGAAACATGGCTGTCTATTGTAATCAGAGGGTTTAGTGCTTTGTGTGAATCCAACCGTTGTGTGTAAACTGCAGGACTTTGAAATGTGTACTTTTCCAAATTATCAGTTTTTATGTCAGAGTTCAGCCTTCTTAGCTTAAACCCCTCTCTTCAAAGATTAACTACTAGTGTAGCTAGATTGAATGTTGCTCAATCAGCTGGAAACTTCTGGGAGTCCACAAAGGGTTGCCAAAGTTGAGAAATGCTTCACTAGAACAAAACAAATTCTGCCTGCGGTATCAGGAAACAGACTGAAACAACATCCTGCCTTTGTAAAGAGCACACAGATTGTGTACATGCTACTAAATGAGGAACAAAATAAATTCAGAAAACTGGATTTCTGTTAAGAAATTGATAGAAACTCTCTTTCTCTCCATATATGGATATTTATAGCACAGATAGTCCTCAATTGAGCCCAAAATTTCTGTTGCTAAGTGAGACATTTGTTAAGTGCATCTGGTCCTGTTTTATGACCTTTCTTAGCACAGTTAAGTGCTTCACTTCAGTAATTAAGTTAGTAACACATTTGTTAAGTGAATCTGGCTTGCCCATTGATTTGGCAGAAGAGCACAAAAGATCACAAGACCTCAGGATACTGCAACCGTCACAAATATGAATCAGTTGCCAAGCGTCTGAATTTTGATCACATGACCATGGAGATGCAACAATGGCCGTAAGTGTGAAAAAAAGGTCATAAGTCACTTTTCAATGACACTGTATCGTCGAATGATCACTAAATGAACTATTGTAAGTTGAGGACTATCTATATTTTCAAACTTTTTCATATTTCAAGGGTAGAGATAGATTTTAATGAATTAGCTTTGACATTCCTTTTGGTTGAGTTTCTGTTCCCAGTTTTTCACCATAGCCTGAAAGTGAGTTAAAATTATTGGTTTCTTTTTCTGCCTTCAAAAATAAGTATTCTCCCTCAAGCCAGTTCATAGAAACTTAAAATGAAATGGAAAGACAATTGAACTTTGGGAGTTTTAGCAGATTACAAAGGTTTACCATAAAACAAGTGTACTCAATCTGCAATCTCCCTTAACATTTTACATGCAACTACCAAGGACCGTCAAAAATTGCTATTAAATTACAATATTTAAAATTTGTTTATTAGATTTTTATTTGCAGTGAACATACTCAATACTCCTTTCTCCTCCTATTTTTCCTAAAACAACAATCCTGTAAGGTGAGTTGGACTGAAAGATAGAGACTGGCCCAAAGTTATGCAGCCAGTGTCAGCGTTCCAAGTATCATGTAGAATTAAATCAGAGTCAAAGGCAAAACGATCCTTAAAGTTCCAAATTAATAAAGCAGACATCTTGGCATTATGCTATGAAATCCCAATATTGGAAATGACATCAGAATTCCACCCAGTTAAAAGTTCATGATCTTGTCCCCACACCCACAATCCATCACATGGTCCAATCTTCTTCTACACTGGCATCCACACCCAGCTGCTTCCGGTCAGGTGTCAAAGTACGGAGACAAAAGATGACCTTGGCTTCTAGTAAAGAGTGAAAACAATACATTCCACAATTCTACTCCTTCTATTCCCCCCTCCCATCAACTATACTATTGAAACAGCATAATGAAATAAGAGAAAGTGTAGCAGGCCAAAATTCTAAAAGGAATATAATTGCAGGCCTGACAGCCAGCTTATTTTTCAAGATCAGTGAAGGTCAGTTGAATGCTGCCACTTATCTGGGAGGTAATGAAAGATGCTTTTCGGACTATAGCAAGTCGTTCCAGGCCATATTGATTTAATCGACCAATAGTCTAATAATCTAATCTAATGGACCAATAGTCAACCTTGGCAACTTTAAGATGTGTGGTCTTCAACTCCCAGAAGTTAAAAGTTTCCAGGGTTGAGAAACACTGGTTTCTATACTCATAAGCTGTTATTGGGTGAAGGGAACCAATATTATAGAAACAGTCCTCAATTTATGTCAACAATTAAGACCAGAATTTCCTTTGTTAAAGAAGAAGGTTGTTAAGTGAGTTATTCCTGATTTTGCAACATTTTTCCCAAGGTGGTGAAGTGAATCACTGCAGTTGTTACATAAATCAGAGATCTGTTAAGCAAATCCATCTTCTCCTATTGACTTTGCTTGTTGGAAGCCAGTGGTAAGGTTGCAAATGATGATCACATAATTCCCAGGATGCTGCAACCATCATAAATATATGCCGGTTGCCAAGCACCCAAATTTTGATCACATGACCATGGGAATGCTGTGATGGCCACAAGTGTGAGGACCAGACATAAGTCACTTTTTTTCAGTGCTGATGTTACTTCAAACGGTCACTAAATGAATGGTTGTAAGTCAAGGACTACCTGCTAACTTGCTATATCATATTTATTCCTGTATTCCTCATCAAATGATGTGGTGAATAAAGTCACTAGGTTTTGTTTTGAAATATTCCACTTGGTTTTTTTTTCTCTCCTTTCCAGTTCATCATGGAGCCAGAGTGGTCTTCTGCGCACCAGCATCAGAAGGTGAGACCTAGAACTCCTGCTGTCCTTGCTTTATATTTGATTATTTATAATCCTGCTGCCAGTTTAGCTGATCAGGTTGACAATAGAAAGTTGCAAAACCTGTAAGGAAAAAAATGCAAATGAAGCAAGCTGCAGTTCATAGTAGCACATGCCTTTTTAATAAAGCCCATCAAAATCATATAGTGCTTTGGGACCCATTCAGATATTTAAATGAAAGAAGGTAAGTATCTAATTGTAGCTTTGCTAGAATTCAGCAATCTACCTTTGCAGAAAATGGAAGCAGTGAGAAAAACCAATATTTTCTGGCCAGAAAAATAATTGAATTGAATTGAATTGAATTTATTATATTTCTATGCCACCCTATTCCCAGAAGGGACTCAGGGCGGCTCACAACCAGGTCAGGGGGGGGGGGGGGGTACAAATAAGAAAAAAGGAACACGAACAAAACAATACCACAATTTAAAACACTCAACAGCCACACCATTCGAGCGGGGACAAGAACTCATCAGCCCCAGGCCTGTCGGAACAGCCAGGTTTTAAAGGCTTTGCGGAAAGCCTGGAGGGTGGTGAGGGTCCGAATCTCCATGGGGAGCTCGTTCCAAAGGGCCGGAGCAGCCACAGAGAAGGCCCTCCTCCGGGTGGTCGGCATTGGCCAGTGGATGGAATTCGGAGGAGGCCTAATCTGTGGGATCTAATCGGTCTGTTGGAGGTAATTGGCAGCAGGTGGTCTCTCAAATAAGATGTCCACTAAATCACTAGCATGTCTACTTGCTACAAAAGCATGCCTACTTGCTACAAATGTAATATTTTCCTGGGGAGATGATTTTCATTTAGGAAAATGGGATGTATGATCTTTCCAAAGGAACAGCAAAATATATAATGATCTTTGCAATTGAGCAGCAGTTTAAACCTGCCTGGTGCTGTATTCCTCACACAGACCTATCATCTAAGGCTCACTAAGCTAACTTTGGCTCTGACTAACTATTTATTTTGCTGGTGAATCAAACTGCTTGGGTGGTGGCCTAGTGGTGAAGATGCTTGCTTGCCACTCAGAAGGTTGACAGTTCAATCCCAGTTAGCAACAGATGTTTCTCTCTCAGGGTGCACAGAGAAAATATCTGCTGTGAACTCTGTGTAGTGTCAGGAAGGGCATCCGTACAGTAAATCAGATCCATCCACTCGCCCTGAATCTACTCCGAATTATGGGATTATAGGGCCATAAAAAGAGGGTTTTTTGAAATTAATCAAACTGTTTCTAAATTTACCCAGTGTAATGATAGATAAAGTAAGCTTAGCTATCTGACTTAGAAAGGAAAGGAAAGGAAAGAAAGAAAGAAAGAAAGAAAGAAAGAAGGGAGGGAGGGGGCAAGGGAGGAAGGAAGGATGGTATCGATCCAAACCTAGCACTAACTTAGTAAATTAACTCTAAGCCTTCGTTTTCTTGTTGCTGTAATTTGGATTACTTCCTTCATTAAGTACAGTAGACAATTTGCCATGGTAGCTTAAATAGCTTTTTCAATGCCATAATGCTGGGCTAGCTTTAATAGTAGGCAGAAGTCTGTGGCGGTGGATTTAAAACATATAACAACAATTATGTTTACCAATCTAGCAAAATGTTTTGTCAGTGGTATAAACTTAATAGTAAGTTGTCATTAAAATGGACAAACCTTATCACAATGGGCTGTTTGAGAATGCTACTCATGAGTAGATCTTGAGGCAAGATGGAAATACTAGCAGCTCCCATTTTTGTTTAATTATTCAAATTTGTTGAAACTACCAACTCCAATTGACTAGAAATAGCTAGATGTATTCCCACTGTATTCTAAAACCATTTTTTAATAATGGTGGAAATCAATTTCTCAGGTGTGAGTGGTGCACCTGTTAATTTTACTTGGACCGCAGCTGGAACTACAGAGACAGCTAAAGACTCCAGGTATAAATACCTTGGGATAAAATAATTATCCTTCCTTTCCATTCCCCTATGGGAGCACTAAACCCACTTTGCATCTCTTTGCAGAAGAAAAAGGAAAAGTTATTGAGAGGGAACTTGCAGAAGGTGGTGGATCTGGAGAAGGTCGTTTTGTGGTCTGTGATGTCCTCTGTGAAGCAGACATGAAGGTAGGATGGACTTCTGGACTTCTCTTCCTGGATGGGTTCTTTCCTAGATCCTTATTTCTTATGGTGTTTTTTTTTTTAAAAAAATTCCTGCATTTTTTTCATTGCTTCTGCAATGTAACTTCTCACACTAAAGTCCAATGCAAATGCAGCAAATCCAAGAATTCCCAACCTTGGTGACTTTAAGGAAGTGTGGTGTTCAACTCCCAGAATACCCCAGACAGCATGGTTGGTTGGAGGATTCTGGGAATGAAGTCCAGGCATCTTAAAGTTGCCAAGGTTGGGAAACCCTAACCAAAATTCTTCACCTTATTATTTGTTTTGGATATAATGCTGAGTTGAAAGTAGTTGTAAGACAACCACTGGATTTCATGCATTGCACTCTAACTTCATGTGACAAATTTGGTTTTGATTTAGCATAAAATGCAAACTCAATCAGTGGGATTTGTAAATTGCTGCTTCTGGCTTTGTATTGTGAGTAAAGAAGCCTTGTCTAGCTTCTTCAACAAATAGTAGTTTAAAAAAAACTTACAATTTTGTGTATTGTGGAATCCTAGTGCAGGGCTAGCTCAAAGGGTCATGTATATAAACACTACTACCCAGATTTTTGGGTAAACATGCAGAACAAGCGTTAGTGAAGTTAACAATAGCAATTCATGATCTATAGACAACTTTGGGGACAACATTTCTCTGAATAACAGCTATGGAGGAAATAGGTAAGATGGCAAACATTTCCCAGTTCTCATTGGTTGAATATCCTTTCTTTAGTCTTTATTTGTGCAAATGCATGCATGTGATTCCTGCCTAGCTGCTTACATATCTATCTTGCCATTATCATCTCAGGTTTCCCACATGGTTCCCATCCAAATACTGATATTGTGTAGATGTGTACCTACTTCGCTTCAGAAAGATGGCTGTATCACAGCTTCACGGCCTACACTGCCTTAAAAATTGGAAAATTTCCCTAAATCTACCCTCCACCATTACTTCTGCAGTAGCTGCCAACTGTCCACATATCTCATATGGATAACAAATGTTTATGCTTTTATGTGATTAGGAAAATATTAGAATGTGCAGAAATGAACAGATTAAGGCTGGCAATTAAGGAGAAAGCAAGCTGAATATTATGTGATATGGGAATTATTTTATCAGTGGTTAGAGAATAAAAATGGAAGCTAGAAATAAAAGGAGATTAAAAAAGAGTAGAAAAATATATTAAGATTAAATATGATAATTGTTAGAATTATGATTATGTTTAATATTATTTTATTCTTATTAGAGGATACATTAAGAGGGAAAAATGAATGTTTACTATGCTCAATTGTTCACTACACTATAATTGTAAGTTCAGAGAATTAATATCAATGTAGTGAATGATGTTGTAAATTCTGATGGTTATTGCACAGAGATATTTGTACCCAGATGACACACTGTTTAAGAGAAGATGGAATGTTCATATTTTTAAAAAAAACTTTTAGAAAAGTTTATGCTTGGACTTGGCTGTTTAAGAAGGTTGCAACTCGCAAAGAGCCAAATAATTTGATTCTCCTCTTGATCTTCTTCCACATAGCAATAAGACTTATATACCGCTTCATAGTACTTTACAGCCCTCTCTAAGCAGTTTACAGAGTCAGCATTTTGCCCACAACAGTCTATGTCCTCATTTTACCAATCTTGGAAGGATGGAAAGATGAGTTAATCTTGATGAGTTAATCTTGAGCCACTGAGGAACAAATTGCTGGCAGTGGGCAGAATTAGCCTGCAGTACTGCAGTCTAACCACTGCACCACCCCTACCATCCCTGAAATCTTTCTTTTTTTTACCCTGTACCTTCTCTACAGAGATTAGTGTCGGTGACCATAGGACACTATGGACAACTAGATTGCCTGGTGAACAATGCTGGCGGGCGTGAGTTATTTCCAAAACGATTGGGCCTGTCTTGCTAACCATTTAAAATGTTGTTACTTATCCCACTAATCCTGACAATATTCTTATGTATGTGATGGTGGCGAATATCTGTAGCTCAGGAGGAGGAGGAGGGTAGAAGTTCATTCTCCGAGTTTGTGGGCTGGTTTCCCAACATTTCGTTAGCAGGCCAGGTAACATCTTCAGGAGAGTTTAGGGGATGTCAGTGTCAGTGTTCCTCTGTTTGTGTCATCAGTAAGTCTTGTGATGGGGAGGTCACAAGATCCATCACAAGACCCCCACCTGATGCGATTTTATTTATTTATTTTATTTGTTTAGTTTGTCAAACATGTACGAGATAACAAGTATAAGAATAAATATGGACATGAACACAGAAAATGGGTAGGAATAAACTGGGACAATGGGACAGGGAGGGAGGCATGCTGGTGCACTTATGCACACCCCCTTACAGACCTCTTAGTAATGGGGTGAAGTCCATACTAGACAGTTTAAAGCAGTGTTTCTCAACCTTGGCAACTTTTAGTCCTGTGGACTTCAACTCCCAGAATCCCCCAGTGATTCTGGTTTAAAGTAAAGTTATGGGGGTTTAAGGATGTATTAACAGAGTTGGCTAGTGCATTCCAGGCGTTGACCACTCTGTTGCTGAAATCGCATGTTCTGCAATCGAGTTTGGAGCAGTTTACCTTGAGTTTGTATCTATTGTTTGCCTGTGTATTATTGTGATTGAAGTAGTCACTGATAGGTGGCACGTTGTGGCAGACAATTTTGTGTACTACGTTTAGGTCAGACCTTAATCGGCATAGTTCTAGGTTGTCCTAACCCAAAATTTCAAACTAGGTGGCATAAGGTATTCTATTGTGAGCAGAGGAATGGAGTACTCTTCTCGTGAAATACCTCTGGACTCACTCGATTGCATTAATGTCCGATATACAGTGTGGATTCCAGGCAGAGGAGCTGTATTCGAGAATTGGTCTGGCAAAGGTTTTGTATGCTCTAGTCTGCAATATAATGTTACTGGGAAGAAGCTTCGCGAAATTAGGTTAACAACTCTTAATGCTTTTTTGGCAATGCTGTTACAGTGAGCTCTGGGGCTTAGACTTCCCCATCACAAGACCTGCTAACCCCACAAAGACCGTATAAACAGAAGAACATTGTTTCCCCTAAACTCCGCGAAGATGTTACCTAGCCTGGAAAGAAATATTCGGAAACCAACCCATAGGCTCGGAGATCAGTCTCCACCCTAATTTATTTTAACGTTTTTTTTCAATTGTTTCTAATTTGTTTGAGGTTGCTTTTATCACATTGAGTCCCTGTAGATTTCTGCAAAGGTATCTGTTGATTTTTATGAGCAGGGATAGATTACTTTCCTCAACCTGACACTCCTCCATGTGTTAGATTACAACTTCCATGACCCTATGAAGGTCTCTCCAGTTTTATCTCCATAGCAACCTTGTGAGATTGTTGAGAGAGACAGAGAATGTAATTAACCATTTGAACCAATTGAATTGGTTCTCCCCAGTCATCATCACCTTGGAAAAACAAGACAGAGAACATTGACAAGGTTGATTAAGCATGACTTTATTTGGTGCATAAACTGATCTAGGTGATGCATGTTCCTCAGGATTAATTTGGAATAAGGACATTTACAGTGCTAGAAAAGCAAAATACGCCCACCAGCGAGCAGGAAGGCAATATATAGAGATTTATGCAATGTCTTTTCTTTCTTTCTCTGCCAAACAGATCCTCCCGATCAAAGAATCGATGATGTATCTGCCCAAGAATTCCGCAGTCTCATGGACCTCAACGTTGTCAGTGGTTTCTTAATGGCCAAGGTAGCTTTTCAGATACACACACAGACACACACACACACACACACACACACACACACACACCTATATCTTAATTAGATATATTATAATTAATATTAATTATTATATATTATTCTATATGCACAAAATGCACAACACATGCATACACGATGGCTTTTTACCACACTGCTATTGTGTACATTTTATTCCTTACCCTGCAGTTGTAAAACAAGGATCGGTGCAGAGTTTTGGAGGGATAGCAATACAGAACCCTTGATGGGACTTTCTTCTTGCCTAGATTTCTATCTAGATTCTCCCTAGTGAGGAAATGGACCAGTCAAAGTGGCAAGAACAATCTACTTCCTTCTATGACCTGTTCTTTCGTTTGGGCCGTGAGGTCGTATGAACACAATACAGTTAGTCCTCGACTTACGATCACAATTGAGCCCAAAATTTCTGTTGCTGAGTGAAACAGTTTTAAAGTAAAAACGTTGCCCCCTTTTACAACTTTTCTTGCTAAGTTGTTGAGTGAGTCAATGCAGTTGTTTAGTAACACAGTTGTTAGGTGAACCTGGCTTCTCCATTGACTTTACTTCTCAGAAGGGCGCAAAAGGGAATCATATGACTCCGGCCAATGCAACTCTCATAAATTTGACTCAGTTGCCAAGCATTTGAATTTTGATCACGTGACCACCACAGGGATGCTGTGAAAAATGGTCATAAGCCACTTTTTTCAGTGCCATTGTAACTTTGAATGGTCACTAAATGAACTGTTATAAATTGAGGACTACCTGCGGGGGGGGGCGGCACGCATGCGCACGGTACCGTTTTGGGGAGGTTTGCAGAGTGCGAAAACTTTTTTTTTTTTAATTTGCCTATTCAAAACCTTGGTGCATCTTATACTCCGAAAAATATGGTAACTCCTGTTAAGGGTGCAAAAATTTCTGGGTTAAAAGCAAAGCAGGCTTTAGATAGCGTACCATGAGCCACGTTCCAAGGCAGATATGGTAGGAGGGGACAGGCCCCAAACGTGATTTCACTGAAGTTCAAATGTGAAAAAGATTATATGCAAAGGACCTTAATCAGAGCTCAGTGTAACTGGCTTTGCATGTACCACTTCCATTACCACTGCGATTTACATCTTTATACAGACAATTCATTACTTTTTTCATTTGTTCATTTGAATTCACCTGTATACAAGTACACAGGTGACATTATTATTTGTATCATTACATTATTATGCCAGATGGCATTTATGAAAATAAATGCTCCAATTCAGCAACCTTTCCTCAGTAGCCAGCCCATCCAATTAGTCCATTAAATGAGATTTCAGTATAGGCTACTCTCCAATAGCAATAGCACTTAGACTTACATACTGCTTCACAGTGCTTCACAGCCCTCTCTAAGCGATTTACAGAGCCAGCATTCTTGCCCCTAACAATCTTGGTCCTCATTTTTACTGACCTCGGAAGGATGGAAGGCTGAGTCAACCTTGAGCCTGGTGAGATTCGATCTGCCAAATTGCAGGCAGCCTGCAGTACTGCACTCTAATCACTGTGCTACTGTGGCTCATCAAATATCCCATTGAAAGTCTCAATTTCATATCTTCTGAAGAGCCGCCCCCCCCCTCCTCCAAGGCTTTGGGGATTGGTTCTGATCAGCATCTGCGTTTCCATGGTTACGGGATCCTGCTGTCCTCCCTAGAGATCAAATCTGTCTCTACTTTGCATGTAAAATCCACATTTCCTCTGAGATGTTTCCTTTGGGGTGAGTGGAGAGAGGGATTGGAATTATTTCAAGATCATGTTTGAAGGTGGAATGCTTTTTCAGCAGCTTTTCTGGGGAATTGCCTCAGATCCATGATGAGGTATCTTTTTTTTTTTTTTTTGTAAATGAAAGAGCCCAAGTTTCAACTGCATCTTATTTTGTTAAAAGTCTCCTTCTTTATACTGGTACTTTTCAGTAGTATTGGCTTTACAATGATTAAAAACACCCTTGCTGGCTTGGGATCTTGGGAATCGTAGTCTCAATGCATCTGGAAATCCTTGTGCCCTAAGAAAAAAATGGGAACTGAGAACAGTCTTCGTGAATCACTGACAATTATGGGGAAATATTGAGCTAAATCCTTATTGGCACTGCAGCTTTCTTATGTACCCCTACTTAACCATATTTGTCGGATTATAAGACGCACCGGTATATAAGACACACCAAGATTTTGAAGAGGTAAGTAAGAAAAAAAGGGTTTTGCCCTTCCCAGCCCCCAAGAGCACTCTGCAGGCTTCAGCAGGGCTGGGGGAAGGCAAAAATGTCCCCATTTTTCACAAAAATTGGCACATTTTTCCCTTCCCCCAGCCCTGCTGAAGCCAACAGAGTGCTTCTGGGGGATTGAAGGAAGGGAAAAACGCCTCTGTGTTTTTCGAATCTGACCGAACACTATTAAGAGCCTTTATTAGGACTTATTTAGTGGCGATACAGGTGGCAAAATATACATATTTTTCCGCTCTTATTGCATCCGCGGAATCCCGCCCAGCCGCCCTGTTTAGGGTGACCCGCTCCCTCCTAAAAGGTGAGGAAGCGGGGGAACCCCTGGAGGGAAGAGCTGAGGAGTTTGTTCAGTTTCTGTTGGATAAAATCACTTAGATTCCGACGGACCTGGACTCTACTTGGGCAGCACCAGCTGAGATGCCGAGGGAGGGTCTTAGTTAGATTTGCTGGGATGAGTTCGAGTTTGTCACCCCTGAGGAAATGGACAAGGCCATGGGAGCGATGAGTGCCTCTACCTGTTTATTGGACCTGTGCCCCTCCTGGCTGGTCTCAACCAGCAGGGAGGTAACACGAGGCTGGCTCCAGATGATTACGAACGCATCTTTACAGGAGGGGTCTTTCCCGCAGCCACTTAAGGAAGCAGTGGTAAGGCCCCTCCTTAAGAAGCCTTCTCTGGACCCAGCTATTCTTAAGACGATAGCTTATCGTCCTGTCTCCAACCTTCCTTTTCTGGGAAAGTTTGTTGAGAAGGTGGTGGCGCTTCAACTACGACGGACCTTGAATGAAGCAGATTTTCTAGACCCCCTTCAGTCTCGCTTCATACCTGGATACAGCACAGAAACCGCTTTGGTTACACTGATCGATGATCTCTGGTGGGCCAGGGATAGAGGACATTCCTCTATCCTGGTGCTTCTTGACCTCTCAGCGGCTTTCAATACCATCGACCATGGTATCCTTCTGCGACGGTTACGGGAGGTGGGAGTGGGAGGCACTGTTCTACTGTGGTTCTCCTCTTACCTCTCCGGTAGGTCACAGTCGGTGTTG